ATACCATGAGGCGATCTTAGAGCATTAGAAGCGGTACACCGGCCAGCCCTAACAGCCACATGCTGTAGAAGTGGAGCTCTCGGAGGAGAAGCAGGTGTTGGATCTGGAGGGAAGATCATTAAGTTTACAACACAGCTGGTGAAGACGACGGCATCTTTGTGAAAAGCTTTCCTCTTCCCGCCTTCACCCGTCTGCCGGGGAACGGCCTCTTCTTTCCGTTCTGGCCGCGGCAAAACAAAAAGCCTCTTTTTTTTATCTGGGGACAAAGAGCTCCAGACGGGGAAGCACAAAGCCGCCTCTGTGTTCTCACGCCGTTAACGCCGCGCTCCGGTTTTATGAGCGGGTTCCCCATTATTACCCGGTACCGTTTGGACTACGGCCGCTGCTCTGCTTATCACAGGGAACCTTGATAGGAGGAACATTAATAAGGAGCCTTTCAGCGCGGCCTTCTCTGCCTAAACAACTTCTATTACTCCCAAAACAGCCTGTAATACGTCAAACAAAGCTCACATCCTTCAGCATCCTGCTGAGGAAACATGAACGTGTTCTGCGAGTTCTCGAACAGTCGATCAAGGTCACCCCGCTGAGCACCGGGGCAGAGAATCAGCTCCTGGATTTCTTCAAAGATGAATGAAAAAGGCTTGTTTCTCTCCGTCACGGGCCCTTCTCGGAGTAAGATCCCACCTTTTAAAAAGGTTTGACGAGGACATTGGCAATCATAGGGGAGGAGGACAGGACAGAGTGGTCCCGGTGGCGTGTGGAATCGCTACGAGGCCGAGCCTCGCAGGGCCGCACCGCTGACATCGTGGTAAGCTGCTTTGAGATAAGCCTCTTTGTTGCGGCTTCGTGATACCATCATTGTGCCTACGCTGCCAATCATGCAGCGCTCAGCCAAAAACTCTACAGCCCCCCCCGCCAACCCCCCCAATTAACTCTCATACATTGAATTCTTTCTCTCTCATACATTCAAACGTCTTGACCGGCGTCATCCCAGGACTTTAGTAAGAAACTTTGCTCATGTGATAAGAGGGCAGGATTATATCATCACGTTCTGTCTCTGTTTAAAGATGTCTGAAGGGCCTCTTTGATCTAACCACGACATGATAACATCTAGTAGATCCTACGTTTTATTTTAAAACGTATGCAGACTCCAACTCACCTGCATACACTAAAATACACTTTGACTCCCACGGGTCACAGCGGACTGATTGATGTGGGGCTTAAAGGTGTTCCAAAGAGGGCCTGTTTGTTGTCGACCTGAAACAGACTCATCACATCAAGCGGACCCTAGTAGTTCACAGCTCATGCTCATCTTCAGCTCAGGATTATGAACTACCCTGTTGACGGATATTGATCAACCAATCCATTAATGACCACATGTTGTTTTCCCCCCAAACAAAGAACCAAAGATGTTTCACTTTCCAACGGTGCAACGCAGACAGAAGCAGAAAACGCTCGGTCTCTGGTCCGAGGAGCCAGAAAACCAAAGAATGTTTGCTATTTTCAATACCCTTAAACCCCCCGCCTCCGCCCTCGGGAGTAGCCAGTCGTGCAGACGTTCTTGCAGGGAGCTTTACCTCACCTCAGATCTGATCGCCCGCCCGCCCCCCCCCACCCACCCATCCCCCTCAGGAGCCCCCCTGCCGGGAGAGGGAAGGAGGAGGAAGACTCAGCTGGAGGCCTCTCGAAGGGAGGTGTGTGTGTGTGTGTGTGTGTGGGGGGGGGGGGGGGAGAAATCGCACGCCACATCTGTTTGCACGGGCGCACGTAACACGAGACCAGAGGTAGAGTCGGAGCATTGTCTGTCGATCACACGTCTCTGAGTAATACCTCAGAAGAGAGTGGGCTCAGCACAGCGGAGGTGGAGACCTTCATAGTCACACTTACGTCCCCGGGAGGGACTGATGGTGGGTGGGGGGGGGTGGTGCATGTGCGCACGTTGGTGACGGACAGGAACGAAGCCAAAAGAGCCAGAGGAAGAGTCTGTTTGTTGCTCGGTCTACGCTGACCTCATCTAGTCGTGGGACCCGTGGAATGATGCGTGCACGCCGTGCGGGTAGTTTATAGTGACGCGTTACAGACGTGTTGGGCCCTGAGGCCGTGTTGATGGTTCATTGATTCACACCAAACTCAGACGCTTTTAACCCTTTCAGCGTGCGTCCGGTGGCAGTGCAGCAATAATCTCTTCTAATAAATGAGTCATCGTTTAGGCGGTTGCCGTTGGCGACCACTCGGAGGGATTGGGAACTTGGCGTTAGCAGCTAACAAACAGCACATCCCTGCTCATCAACGTGAGGCTGTTTTCTGCTTTTCCATGGCATATAGACCATGGCATTTATGCCTTAATCGGAAGAACGTCTCCTCTCCTCCTCCAACGTTATTATTTTTATTCTCTCCAGTGACGCTCGAGGGACGAATAAGTCATGCTTACCGAAGGTTATTGTTTTATGTAATAACAAGCATTTCTAGATCGACTCCCTGGTTCTGTTAACAGCGTTAAAATGATAAAAGCAAAGCTCAGGTGAAAACAGATTGTGTTTCCCTAAAGCCTCACGTCTTTTCTCAGAATAAGCTGAAGACACAATGAAAAGCATGCAGAAACACACAGGGAGCCCTGTTTCTTTCTGCCAGTAATAAAAGCATGAAAAACATTTTTGGGGATAGAAGAGGCTCCCGGACAGAAAGTGGTGGAGCCCTGGGGGTAAGGGGGGGGGGTTGTCAACCGAAGTGAATAGGATATTGGATTTCAAGGTTGTGATTACTTCACCATATTGTTTCTGTTCAAAGAATACCATTCAGAAGCCAATTAAAAGTCCCAATCTGGCAAGTGGAAAGGTTTTCCTTTCACACCAGTTTGTGTTGCAGAATAAAAGCCCTTTAGCGCAGATTCCTTCCTCTCATTAAGTCTTCCATCTTTATTATGTAATCAACTGGAATGTAACTAAATGATCCGAAGAGCAGGTTTGTAACTTATTATTTCCTTTGTGATGAATCTTTAAATAACATTTTAAGTCAGAAGTGTTAACATTAAGCTTGTTTTGTTTTTTTATTTTCCCAAAGTAAAATTACAACAATGACTTAATTAATTTTAACCAGGTAATAAAACTATTGCGATATTTGTGTAACATGATAATGGTTTGTTCAAGCTTTCCCTCAACTGGGAGAATTTGATGCTTTAGTTTATTTTGGGTTTTGGTTCTTATGAAATAAGACTTTAGAAGATGCAACCTTGGACTTTGCGAAAAACAATTATGTTTCACTTTTGACTGACATATTCAAAATATATCAAATAATTGTTATTTGTGGCTCGACACAAAAGACACTCGCAGCATTTCTCCTGATAACGGACTCGTATAATGGTATTGCAGTTCTTGTGCCTTTGGAATCACCAAGGTTGAAGATTCATACAATCAGGGGAAGGTTTTGAATCTTCCCAGGCAGCCAAACAACATTAAGTCAAAAACATCAACAACTGCCTGCTAACAGCTGGAGAGGCAATTAAGATACAGGGCGACATGTGAAGGCTCAACAAGAGAATGCTCGGAAATTTTTATTTTAAACCAGAAATTCAGAAAGAAAACAACGAGGATATTTTTTTAACAGCACTCCGGAAAAACGACGCACGCACACACACACACACACACACACAAACACACACAAATAGATCACTGCAAACCATAACAGCACATCAGGGTGGATTCTGGGGAATTTTAATCAGTGTCTAACACAACAAAACATTTACCAATAAGCCTGTATTGCAACATTATTTACTCAAAATTTAAAACAACTTTCGCTCAGAGGAAAATGAACGTGTTTGTACTGAAGCAATCGCTTGGACGGCGACACAAACAACCTTTGACCTCCGTTTATCTGCAGTGACACCGAAGGGGAGGGGAATTTTCAAAAGGGAGATTAAAAGATGTCAAAACAGCAGATTACTGACTAACTCTGCATTTTACAGACGCCCGTCTGTGTACGTGTGAATATTCAACAACCGGAGGAATCAGCCTGACAGAGAAACCCACACACGGGGAGAAACACCAGCAGGTCACGTGTTTCACTACTGGATCTTCTGGATCTCTGTACAGTTGTTTGGTGGTTTATTCAAGATGAACTATTTGAGCAAAAACGTCACACAGCAGCTTTGGCAACAAATCGGATCAACACTCGTCGAAAGCAGAGTTCAAACGGACTGAGTCCAGATTTTCACCACACCTTCCTAAATTCATCCTAAAATGCACTCAGTTCATCGAGTTCACCTCACTATCACTAATGCAATGATTGTGCTATAGTTCTTTTTACTTATTGACCTTAACTTGGATTATTGTGGTAAAGATAAAGTGACAAATGCATGAGTACAACAATTAACAAAGTCTTTCAGACAAATCACCTGTGGCGCATTGATCTGTTTAAGAATGGAAGAATTGTGAAAAATGGAAGAATAACACAATTAATCTAACACAGTTTAGCTAACTTTCAGGACTAGGGTCAAAACAATCTGGAGGTGGAAATACATTTCTGTTGCTAAGAAACAACAAATTGCCATCAAGAGTAGTATCATTAGTGGATCATTTTGGAAACGGCATTTAAAAGTTACGCACAGAAGCACTTGTTTGTTGTTGGTTTGTGCAAAAACAAAAATGCATTGTGGTCCTATTTTTATAATATTTATACAATATCAGCCTCACGACGAGCACGAAACATTCCGAGGGTCAAAAGTCCTTTAAAAGCGGCCCGCCCCCCAGCCGCGACATTACAGCAATCGATCATAATAAAGTAATAATCGTGACTTGTGCAACGAGTACATGCGGAACCTCTGGGTTACCTGTGTACTTGTTATGTTTCCGAGCTACTGAGTACTTCTTTCACTACAACATACCAGTAAAACTCGTTACAAGGTGCAACACGTGTTCTCCCGGAACAACCAATGAGCGCAGCGGGGTCACTACGCGGTCAGCAGGTGACCCCCCCCGGGGACCGGGAGTCATGACGGTACTCACTTTATGAAGTAACTGGCCCCCTCGTTGGTGAAGCCTTCCTCCCATCCCTGAGGGAGGTCTGCGGGGGAACACGAGAAACACGTTAGCGAGACTTCGTCGGAGACACCTGTAGCCCCCCCCCCGGCCCTCGTGAGCGAGCGAGCGAGCCCGCGTGCGCGGGCGCGCACACACACACACACACACACACACAGGTGAAGCACCCCCCTCTTCCAACTAGCTTAGCTAAAGTTGACGTTAGCTACCTGAGCGGATCATGTGTCCGGAGTTTACTGGTTCAGCGGAGCGGGGATGGAGCCAGGTGGTGTTTCGCGCCTCATCGCTGCCGAACGCGCGCACAGACACACGCACACAGAGAGAGAGACAGAAAAACACCTGTTACACCAACGGGAAAACACACCAGCAAACCCAACTCCCGTTCACACGGGGCAGACGGCGCGGTAAAGCCCCCCTTACTCACTTGATGAAGAAGACTCTTCCGTCCGCGCGAACACCGTACGACCAGTGCTCAGGTAAGGCGTCCCGCCCGAGAGGTGCCGCCATGATCCGGTCTGAAAGTCCTATTTCACCTCATTCCCTCGCGCGGTGGAGAGAGCTCAGCGTTCACCGGGCCAGCGCCGCCTTCAGGCTCTGCTCTGAATGCCTGTAAATCTGAACACCGCGAGGGAAACCTCTGAAAAACAGACAGACACACACACAGACACACACACACACACACACACACACACACACACGGGATTCGGGGCTGTTGGAGTCTTTCTTTATCGCAGACTGCTTTGGTCCTCACTGAAAATGTTTCCCTTTTAGTTGATTATAATTGCATAAATAGGTGTTTGTATTACGCACACATTTTGTTAATTTTACATATTCTCCTGAATGTCACATATGTTATTCTAATTCTCATTTATTTGTTAGGCGCAAACTAACCATACACTAACCTAACCAGGTCATTTACGACCAGAATAACACAGGTGTTACCAGACTATAATGAAGCATACATGTAAACAAAATATGTATACCTGAGCAGTTAAATTAATATGTTTAATTGAAATACTTGTCAACGGTTACCGCAAAACCATTGACAAGTTACCTCAACATTTCTAAAAGATTTCTAAAAATCTGTCAAAAGCCCTAGTTGTGTGAGGCAAACGTGAATAATGTGAAACCAAGGGTAGTAATCTATTGATTTCCCCATGTTTGCCACCAAAGCTTCTCAAACGTCAGATGCCAGTTATTTATAAATCATAGGGTCGAGGGGTTAAACTGACGAAAGCCAAGTTATACTCACTCACATAACACATTTTATTCAAATTCACTCAATCGCATCCCTCCAACCACAATATTAACTGAATATACTCCCACCTGATGTGTGTTATGTTTACGGAGGTAATAATGTAAATGATTCATAGTTACGAGTATTTTTATCAGTACTTCCGAGAGCCCTTTGGTCCTTCTGAAGGCTGATTAATGCTGTGATAACAACTGCAAAAAGGCCACATAAACAGCTGACAACATCAAAAAGAAAGGACACATCCGTGGATTAAATGTATGGTAATCAAACCTTTTTTTAATTGTATTTCATAACAGTCAAATTTTGTTCAATGATTCCACTGTGTCTGTACTATTCTTTCTACCACAGTAGTACTTTTACAGGGATGTATTTACATTTAGTACAATAATGAAACCTGTATCATCTATTTTGTACAGCAATATTGAATGGTTGTACAAACAAACAAATAGAACCATGGGTATCTTGTGAATGTTCCCGTGTATCTAGAACATTGAAAAATGACATCAACGTTCTGAAAATAGTATCAAAGTGATTGTAAAAAAACTGTAAGAGCCTCCGTCACTCGCTGGAAAGTCTGAGCTCACTGGAATGTCTCCAGGAGACGCGTGGTGGCGTGCTTGTGACAACGTCGCGACGTGCAGACCTTCGGTTTGAAAAACAAACAGGTGAGCTGAGCTGCTGACAAGCCCTCAGGCAGCCGGAGTTCTTTCTCCAAAAACCAGAAGGCCAGAGTGCAGGGAGGAGAACGGAAAGACAGAAGGACTGCAGCCTTTCCTCGGGCTCAATTTGACGTGGAAGACACAAGGGGGGGGGGGGTGTAGCATATGAGATGAGATGAAAAAATGAAGATTTGATAAGAAGAACTAAGAAGGGATGGTGGTGGATGGTACCGGAAGGGTGGGGGGTGTTAAACCTTAAGTGCAAAAAACAATAAATAAGGACGCTTGTCCTTCAGGCTTTATACCGACGAGGTCACGCCTGAAGCCTCCGCTCGCCCAAAGGTTTCACCACCAGTTCTGGACCCGCACGTCCACTTCATCACGCGCCTTCTAACACAGGAAAATTAATTTGTGAGTGAGTTTGTGATCTGATCCCTACGACACTCGATCAGGAGGAGAAATGTTATTTTATGTTCCCTTCATAGATGTTATTTCAAACAGATAACATTTAGTAGATTTATTTATGGACATGTTTTGCACCCACAAGCTAATTATGTATTTTATTCTGGCTTCTCTTCTGCTGTTCTGGTTCCACCGGTGTTGCAGATGTAGAAATGAAAGTGAACCTGTGATTCTGTACATCGGACACAGATCAAAAGAACAACAATTACAACAAAGAACCTCCGAGGTGGTGTGAACCTGATGTGAAATGTGTTTCATTTGGCTCATCAAAAACACAGTTTGGAGAAGAATAAATGCTAGAATTGAAAAGATCTGCTTCACATGAACAGCAGTTCACTCTCAGCTTAGTTGTCCACCCAATGTGGCAAAGCAAGCAGCACAAAACAACAATTATTTCTGAAATAATGACTATTTTGCTTGTAGTGTGGGCCGGCTGTGCACTCAGCAACAATGAGCTTTCTGGCAACGTCACTAAAATGGGTCCAGAAGTTCAACACTTTCATCCAGAATCTCACCAATTCTTCTCTCAAAGGGAAGTAATGTAAATCTTTTAAATCGTTATTCGCTGGGGCACAATGCCTCGCAAAACTATGGCATCACGGTGAAGGAATTTTGAAGTAATTCATGTCATGTTATGCGGGGTGAAGATCGGACGGGTCGCCTCCATCCCGGAGTTTTGAACTTTTGGTGAGCGGCCTGCAGGCCCCGATAGAGCTCTTGATGTATTATCTGAAATGTTGGGATGAAGACATTCAGCAAAGGGTAAAGAGCCAAACGTCAGAGTTCAGGTTCAAAGTTCAGCTACTTCTTCTGGACTTTTCAGGGATTTAGTTACTAAGCGAACAAAATGCAGCTTTAACTGCGATGATGAGGCCCCAGCAGGTTCCTTTCTCTGGAGAGACAGCTTGTTGGTGAGACTTGAAATGTTGTCTGTGTTTCATTGTCAAATGAATAATACACATTCAGTCAATCAGTTTGTAAAGTGAGTGATCCATAAATTAGATTCCCTGTGATAATCTGTCTCCCTCCGGTGGACACCAGATGTCAATGCACCCTCCTGCTGGCAATGACACTCAACGTCAACACAACGTAAAATGTAACAAAGAAAATGTTGGACTCGTGATAGAAAAATGTCTTTATTTGCCGCTACAGATTACGGCCCGGCTGTTCTGGAGGAAGTACGCAGACACTGAAGTAAATGATTTTGAAGTACCCCACCGCCAGTAAAAGTCAGATCTAAATAAAGGAAAGGCACAGATGTGTAATCATTGAGTATCAAAAGAACAACTTGTACTTCATTGCACAAGAAGCACTCAGTGGAGTTCTTTGAACCACAGTGTGCAGAGAAATAAGGTCATCGACCAACGGGCCACAACAACTACATCCGCCTGAGGTGAATCCTGGGAGAGGGAAGAAGGAAACTGAATATTTAAAGAAACTTTGTAGAGGAAAAGTCTCGTCAACTGCTAAATTGTAAAACCTAAAATTATTTAATTATTATTATTATTATTTTGAAAAGTCGCGCGTAACTACAGGTGACAAATAAAAGAAGTAAGAATCTGCCTCTGAGATGAAGTGTAGTATAAAGGAGCATTAAATCCACCTCATAGTGTCTGAGGTGGTTTACTCCGCTGCCGAATGTCACAAGGAAGACTCATTCCAGAACCACTAGCAGCATTTTGTTCTTTGTAGAAGGACAGCGGGGTTAATGCCTTTCCCCGGATCACCCGGGGGGGTCCAGAGACTTCTAAAGCTTTGCAAACAGGAGCTCAGGTCCTCAATCAGACGACGAGCAGCTCCATCAGCCGGATCACAGGGAGGAACCCCCCCCCCCAAAAAAAAGCAGCTTAGTGGATTGGATTACAGCGTGATTATTGTTCTGCTTCCATCCGCTGAAATGAGGTGATTGCTGATTCCTGTAAACATGATTTTGTAGGGCCTGATTTAAATATGTTCCTTTTAAGCAGAGTAACCGAGGATTGATTGAATCATTGAATGTTAGCGTCCGATCCAACAGCTCATTCCTCCCAAATGCATCTCGGCCCCCAGACGGTCTGTGGCTGCTGAAGCCTTCGTGCAGGTGGTGAAGTTTTCATTTGATCACTTGAGAGGTGGAACCCTGTTTCCAGCTGTTCCCCAAACAGCTGTCTACCTTTATTCTGCTGGCTTTGATAAGTACAGGAAGACAAAGGTCAATAATCAGCTTCCTGCCATAAAAGCCAAAAGAGGTTTTAACCACGTGAGGGCAGCACAGCTTCACTCTTCAGCGTCTAGACGGGTTTCTATTTATTTATTTATTTCACTTGTCTGAGAACCAAATATGGTCGTCCGGGTGTGGAAAGAATCAAATAGTTCACGTGCCCTGTTACAGTAAACGAGGGTATTTTTTTCCAAGGACAACAAAACAAAAAGCCCCCCCCCCCCCCCCCCCCCCCATCACGCATCACCAATTCCAACAACCAACATCAGCCACGTGCATCGTCTCCACCAGTAACGGCAATCTAAACTAAGGTACTTAAAATATATATTTTATATCGAAATATTTGTGTTTCAACTGATTTATCACTGTTGTGTGAACATTTCAATAAAGCATGAAACCAATTTCAAGTTTTATATTGTGTGTAGATAATAATAATAATAATAATAAATAAAAATAAAACATTTACTTACATGTTTATACTGGTAGGGGAAACACTGAAATATTTTCGCATAATCTCTATTGAGTAAAAAAAACTTATTTTATTTTATTTTTATTTCGATTTATTGATTTTTAATGGATTTTTTACAGCGACACGTTTTAGTTCATAATTATGACAAAACAATTCCCCTGAGGACGTACACCTGCAGTCTTATCGTGGACCTTTCTGTGGCCTTTCCTCGGCCCCTCACCAGAGAGGAGAGGTGTTTCCCCCACCTGCAATATTTAAATCCCCCCCTGAGACAAGTACACCAAGCCAGATGTAAATGCCAGATGCAAATGTTCCGCCTGTGTGCTAGAGCGTGCTTACCCTCACGAGCACACGTTGGAATAAATAGGCGGTTATATGGGTTAGTCACTGAGGGGGCGGGGGTCAATCCAGAAGTGATAATAATATTAAAAGGTTGTTTTCACTCACTCTGCTAAAGTGAATCTCTCCCTTATTTGCAGAGGGCTTCTGGAGCCCCCCGAAGGCCTCACAGGGGACCTTTAAGTCCCCTCGTTAATTACTGAGCCAGACCAGGTGAATCTAAGTGAAAGCATTGACCCCCCCCCCCCCCTCTGGATCCAGAATGTGGAGAAATTCACGAGGAGAAAATGCACAAACGAACAGAACGACACAATTCAAAGGCAGAAAACAGTCTGGGTTGTTTTTGGTCATTTGTGCGTTGAGTGCACTGTATGAATCACATGCGGTCGTCTGTGTCAGACACAATAGCTGCTGGTAGATTGCATCATCGGCTAATTGTGACCCAGGAGATGCCCCCTATCTGGCAGGCGAGAGAGAGAGAGAGAGGTAACCACGTGTGTGTGTGTGTGTGTGTGTGTTTGGAAACCCGCTGCCTCCGCTGCTGCCGCTGATTCTGCCGCTGCTGCAATCACCTGCAATCCTTTCGAAGCCTCGCCACTTCTGCCGGTTGCCTGGAGACGGGGGTCGCCTAGGCCACGGAGCTAACGATGCTGGGAGAGGGTGCGGAGGAGAAAGATGGAGACAAAGATGCAAAGAGAGGAGTGGGCATGGAACAAAAGATGGGGAGAGGAAGGGAGAGGAAGGGAGAGCGGGAGCAATGATGGGATTATGGGACATTTGTATCTCGTTGTAGTGCCCTTGAGCAGAACGCTGAATTCACAACCAGTAGTAAAGCCCAGACACCACTTTGTCCTCACACACCCAAAAAAACATTGATAATAGAGGGCTTCATCAGGTGAGCTTGTCAAATAAAAACACAAAGACGAAGCATCTAGAGGATTTGTAATTGCTGGAGAGCCGACGTTACGTTGGCTCTACACGACTAAAGCTGCAAAAGGAAAAAAGCTCCAAAAACATCAGTGGTAGTACTCGGGGTAATCAGAGGGTTTGACCCCAAAACAATGAACTCATGGTTCCCTTAAAATCACCCGAAAGGGCTTCAGGCCCCCTCCCCAGGATGCTGAGAAATGGCTGAAAAGATTCAGGTAACTCGTATTCAAACTAACTCAACTAAACATGTGGCGTCTCAAAAGAAGGGAGGACAGGCGGGGACATGGGGGGGGGGACATGGGGCGGATATCTGCCAAAGGCACACGCTGGGTCGACAGAGCAACATTGTCAGCAAGTGTTCACCTTTGCACCGTGCTCACTGTGTGTGTGTGTGTGTGTGTGTGTGTGTGGAGGGGCGGGGGGTGCTAATTGATTTCACCCCTCTGGAAAGTCATTTCATCATACTGTGTGTTTTTAACCCGTGTCTTACGACAGCCTTACAGCAGTTACTCTGCACGGAGACTCACGGCCCTCTGGGAAATTACAAGACGGAGTGTGTGTGTGTGTGTGTGTGTGTGTGTGTGTGTGTGTGTGTGTGTGTGTGTGTGTGTGTGTGTGTGTGTGTGTGTGGAGGAGAGATAGAAAGACAAGTTACATGAGGATGAAGCGCTCTAGGAGACATACAAATGAGGCAGGGATGTAAAAGACAAATGTGTATTTGAACAATTTATACATACAGAATATTTTTAAACGGGTGTTAAATATTAACTCGGCTGCCGTAATCTGAAAATATACCGTAAGCATATTTGTTATAAATTGATCTGTATGTACATCGCACATCATACTGAACATGAGATATCAACTATGTGTTAAGCTCATTGAAGAGAAACCACTGTTGTTACAATATGTGAATGTCTGGATCTGACATCTTTTAGATTTGTGTTATGGTCAAAAAGAGAAACCCTACTTGGGATCAGCAATAAACTGCTGTCCACTCAAGCTTTGAAGTAGTATTTAAAGTATTTTTGTTGGAAACGTTTTTATTGGACGTAGGGCTTTCCGATCTCACTACACTGATTATTTTTGATTTTAAGCAACAAATTCACTACGTTGGTCCCGGGACTCTTTTTCGTTTTTCAGAAACACCCCAAAGCTGAAAGATTCACAGTGACGTTGTTGCATTAACAGATCACCCACTGGGCGCCTACGCTGATGGAGCAAGCACACCTGTGTGCGACAGGTGGTGTACGTGGGTGTAGCTCTACAACACTGGGCGTGTCCAAACTGGGTGAGCGGTCAGGCTGGTTTGTCTTCAGGCTACAGGAGCCGAATTGGAATGTGATATGAAGTGATGTCATTGGTCTAAACCTTTTTAGGAGACATTTCCTAAGAGCGAAACCCGACAAAAGCCCACGTGCGCCGCTGCTATCAGCCATGAGATTCGACGTGCATGGAATGCGCTGTTTACGTAGTTCGGGGGACATGGTGTACCATCTCCACTTCCCCGTTGGACCCCGGCCAGCAGGCGTCACGTGGACCAGTCGCTCCAGTACATACTGAAGGGTGACGCAGAGACAGGAAGTCAGAGGTCTGTGGCAACGAGCTGACGTATGTTACCTCAAATAAATCACTGCCACAACTCCACAAACAGAGGAACACATTTTATTGAGTAGATGAAGGACAAACGGACAGATTTGCTATGAGTGACTTTCTGCCCGAATGATGTTACCACGAGAAGCTGAGAGTCACAAAGTGTTTGAATCTCTCCGGTCAACAGAATAACTTCCATCTCCACAAGGCTTTATGTTCCATCAAATAAGAAAACGAGACAAAACTCAAAAGATCAAGCGCTTGATCAATAGGACGAGAAGGAAAACAGCTTCATACCAACAAAACACTCAGCTTTCTCACCATGTTGTCTTCATCTTCATCATCATCAACAGCTACTTCTAGAGTCATCACTGTGTTTTTTCACACATAAAAACAAACATTTAAACCAACGGTAAAAAATGAACTACAAGCTCCATAGGGCATAAATAAGTTACATTACTAGGTCAGTGTATAAGGCATACAAAACAACATTCCACATGTTAATATAAGAAAGTGTCAGTCAGTGCAACAGTCACAAAATGTATAAAACCTTCTGAGGTACAAGGTTGTTCAACTTGACACCGAACATCAAAGTTGGCCTAACATCAAAGTTCCTAATTGGCCTAAAATCAAAACCACCGTCGCATGGCAACCAATCGTGAGTTCTCATCCGGGAGAGGAAATGAAACATTCAGTGTTTTTTGTGATCATCTCGAGGCAGCGTCCAGGTAGGCGCGCATCCCGTCCCGGTGGTCGGGGGACAGGCAGCGGCCGATGGTCTGCTCCGCCTCCCAGACCCGTCTCCGGAAGCGGTCCCGGTCGCGCGCCATTTCCTCCCAGTGTCCTTTGCGAGACGCCTGGCGAGCGAACGGCCAGGTCCGCATGACGTGGACTTGGACTTCGGGAGAAAAATGTACCTGAACAACAGAAGAAAATGAGTAAAATTTAGTGCTTTTTGCCAAAACGTTTTTAATGGATGGAAAAAAGCGCAAAAACCTAAAATTAAATTCTCCAGTTGGATGTTTTTTACCACTCAGGGCTCCTCCCCCAGAACCAACTGACCTCTAATATGTCATGACTTGTTTTTCTGCCTCAGGCTCTACGTCTTCTGATGACACCGTGAGTTTCTCCACAAATAGTTTGCAACTTCACATCCAGCCGAACTCTCTGCTGACTCTGCGCAGTCACATGACACTGCTTAGTCATGGCGACTGGCTGCGTTGCTAACCGACAGCAAATAACAAGCCCGACTCAGACACCCCGTGCGGTGTGTGTCGGCTGAGGCTGGAATTAAACTTGATCTCAGCAGACATACATGTCCTTCAAATAAGGGATCACGCCCCTTTCAGCTTTCTACCCGTCGCTCTTAATCAAAGGCTGATTCTCAGTTATGCAAACACCGGCCTTTTGAAATGAGCTTTTCCCTTGATACCCTAAAAAAGTAGGCCCTTTGACACCATCTACACTCCAAAAGCTGTATACTTTGTCTTTAAAGTTGAATTAAAGTTAACTCCTAATCCCACTGGGTTCAATTTAGCCCCGTCTGGTAGATCAACGCTGTTGTGAGATAATGACCTTTTTTCGGGTGCCGCCACTCTGGCCTCTCCTCTTCTCCGGCGGCGGCGTCTGCTTTGTTCGTTCCACCCTCTTCCAGGGCACCACGCTTTTCTCTGGATGGGCGTGGCGCTTCAACTTCCTCGCCGTCAGCGCGGGCTTGGCGGCTCTGGCTTTCTGGGACTCCTCGCTGTGTGGATCTGGCGCTTGGTGGACATCAACTGATTCTAGCTCGTCTCCGAGTGGCACAACGGACGCCGAGGAGCTCTGCAGGCGAGCCCGGAAGTTGAGGGGGTGATACGGGTCGTTCTTTTGGCCGAGACCTTCCCACAGGGCCTCCTCTTCCTCGTCGGACGAAGGGGGAAAGATGCCCTCCTTCTCCTCTGTGTCCGACTTGGAGGGCAGCGAGGGCCGTGGTTGGGGGACTGTGGTGACGGAGGTGGCGGTGGTTTGTGGCGGGGTGCTGTTGAACGTGCACGCGGTGAAGCACATGGGATTGTAGGGGTCGTCGGGGTTGCTGAAGAACTCCAAGAGCCTCTCGCTCTCCTCGTCCATGTCGGGGCTGGAACCCTCGGAGCTGGCCCAGCTGCTCCAGCTGCTCTCGCTGTCGCTGCGGCTGACCCAGACGCTGAGGCCTCGCGGCCCCAGCGTCTCCTCGCCCGACGACACGAGGTTGGGGTCTCCCCGCGCCGCCTTTCCTTTATTTCTCCCCACGTGCTCGTTGGTCGAAAGGCACGCGGAGAAAAAGAAGGGGTTGTACGGATCGCTGGACTTGGACAGCGACTCCCAGAGCGCTTTGCTCTCCTCGCTGTCGAACTCCATCACGTTCTGGTCGTCTTCGCTGCTCCAATGGCAGCTTCTCTCCTCTTCGGAGGCGTCCTGGCTGAACGCTCTCTCGCCGGTTTTGCGGCAGCCGTCGTTGGACCCGGAGCTGTCGCCACTCGACACGAAGATGTTCCAGTCGCCTGGGAAGCCCATCTTCCAGCCGGGCTGGCGTCCCAGGAAGACTGCGTCCTCACTGCCGGAGACGTCCACCATGCCGCAGCACAGGTCGTCGGCGCGCAGGGTGGACAGCAGGGCCTCAGCGCTGGACTTCCCGGCGAAGGGGTCGCCCACCTCGGTGCAGAAGTTAGAGAGGGGGTTGGCACCGCCGACCATCACGCCGCTGTCTCCGTCGAACAGCGAGGAGAAGAGGAAGGAGTCGGTCTGGTTTGCCGCCGTGGTCATGTGCTGGATGCGCTGGCCCGTCTCATCTGTGATTCTCACGTGAACCTCAAACCTGAACATCTGGAAAACTGGGAAAAGAGGTAGAATAAAAAAATAAGCTTAGAGTGGAAAATTCAAAATGAAATAATTTCAAAAGAATTTTCAGGTGATTTATGATCGATGAAAGAAAAAACTAAGAAAAAAACCTTTTTAAAAGTTCTGCTTTGACACCAGTGCTATGTGACTCATACCATAATACAAAGAAAAATACCGCGATAACATGGAATAGCCGGATTGGGACAAAAGAAATAACATAAGTGGGCTAAAGACCAATTGCGGCTCGTAAGAACAGGCATCCAGGTGGGTTATTAGAGTGGCTTTATTTTGAATAAACTATTTAAACCCGTTAAATGGGAGTAACACCAAACGATCCCAGTTAATCCAACGTTACGTTAGATTAACTGGGATCGTTACGGTTCCGATTGGGGGGGGGGGAACAAAGTGAATACAAGTTTCGCCCCGACACCATTGTGTGGCTCTTACCCGACACGAAGGTGTAGTAGATGACCTGAAGGAGCAGTCGGAGCTGTTCCCACAGCACGGTGAGCATCTGTTTAGTCCACGGCAGCAGCGCCGCACCCCCGCTACCGAACTTCTCCATCGCAGCCCGCTCGGAACCAACAACCGCGGCCATTTCTTCACTTATTGGGCCGACAACAATATCCTCACGTATTCTGGTATTCCTCGTCAAAAAACAGATTTCGCGTATTTGTCGGTGACTGATGTTCGTCGATGGGATGTCGCTTCATTTTCTGGCAAGTAAGTTCCATTTTTGGATTTCCTTCGTCAAATAATCTTGAGTGTTTTCTCCATGTTTATCAGCTGTGTCGTCGTTGTAGTGGAGCGTTAATGTCTCGAGCTTACGACACCGTTCTATTTAAGAGAAACCGTGACGTAGAGCAAGGCTGTGATTGGTGCCCATCTCTGACGATCCCCAAACATCACGCCCCTCACGTAGTACACTGCTTCGCTTTACGTATTCGTTTTACGTAACGTCATTACGTGTGACTCATGGAAATTGCCAGTAACTTCCCCCACCGCCAGGAAACCCCTTGTAAGTCAATGAGAAATGGGCGTATGAAACGTGGAAGACTTAAAACCAAAATGCACTTTGAAGGTGCATTCCCAGTTTCATTATCGTTTGGTTCACATTCTTATAAAACGAAAGTGTTTGCTTCATCACCACAGTGCCTAGATTTTATATTTCTAAACATTTACATTTGAAAAACAGACAATTTAAAGAAAGACAACAGAACTATTTCCAATCTCAATCTTTTTATTAATCCAAAAACATGTAGCATTTATGCCACCAGAGCAGAAGCTGTAGAGGACTCGCTGTAGACAAAGAGAAAATACCATTAGAGGGAACACTACTTTATGTAAACAAAGGATTAGTTCACATTGTGATAAAAACAATGTCTGGTTTAGTTTCCCCTTTCACAAACATGTATATTTGGTTATGACCCCCCACCCCTTAAATAAAGCAATTCCATTTGAAGAAAATAAGCGTAGAGAATGTTTCATTGAATTGTATGAAGGGGACTGGCAGAAGTGGCACAAGTAGCCACCCTGTTAATTTACCTCCAGAATTTTCTAGCACAACAGAAATATCACAGCTTTCAAAAGACTAAGAGCATGACAATGATTTGTGCATATTTTTTGGGTGTCAGTGAGTAGCAAGTTTATGACATGACAAGATTTTTTTTTTCTCTAAACAATTTAAATAAATATGGATTTCAAAGGAAAGCTTCCCAAGGCAGAACAGATACGTACTACTTCCAGTTGGGGGCCAGCACTCTCTTGGTCTTGTAGTACCGGGCCAGCCTGTGGATCCTGCTTTCAGTGAGAATCAGGCGGAACTTGGCATCCTTATCCTGTTAGTATAAAAATGTTGCGGGTATGAAGTGGCCATTGCTGTGGCTTCCTTTGTACGTTACTCCCTAGGCATTTTTATCAGAGTACAATCTAATAGTTTTTTTAAATTGACAAATTAAAGACATTCAAACACAAGAATTATTGTCTACTCAATGCTAATTTGCAAAAGACAGTACGAGAGTGACCTGGGCAAAACATTTTAATCTTTTGCAACCCACTGGCTCAGTATAAAATGGATAGAAATTTACCTCCAAACACCTGAGAAAGTGTTTTATAGACAAAGCCTCCAAGCTTTCAGGTAACAGATGGTTTCAGTATTTTAGACTGTACCTTTCTGTTCCTTTCCAGATGCTTCCTGATGGCCACCGCCTTCTTGATGAGGTGGTAGAGATCCTCAGGCAGGTCAGGGGCCAGGCCCTTGGCCTTAAGGATCCTCAGAATCTTGTTGCCAGTAACGAAACGTACTTGGGCCACACCATGGGAGTCCCTCAGAATCACACCTGGAGAAGTTGAGAAACTGAATGTAAACTCAAGACAGTATCCAGATCAGCTCCTTTTATGACAAACTGGGATAAATTAAAGTAGAAGAAAACTAATGGCAGGTTTAATAGCCTTTGTTAATTTACTTTCCTCTAAAAACTTATCCAACTGACATGTTTGGTTAGACAAAAGAATCCTCCATGAGTCGTTGTGGATTTGCAAACACTAATCTCAAAATATCAATTGCCTCCAGATTTTACTAAACAATTTTTCTTCTGAAGAGATAAAAACATTTAACACAGATTATCCCATTATGGAGGTGTAAACTGCTATGGTGAATTCTCATTCACTGCTGCTTAGTTTTTTTTACTGCACTTTCAATATATAAGAAAATTACGCAATTATTTATTTTGCACTTCATTGCAGTCTTGTGATTTGGCCCGCATACACAGTAAAAATTAACACTTCACTGCTAAATGTTGAGTCATTTGTTCTTTTGCACAAGGGACGAGTAAGACATTTTCCTCTATGTACTGTACAAGATACAGGCAGGTACTTTAAAGTCTCCTTGCTCTCTTCAAATTAATGTATTCAACATTGTATTAAAAGATCAATTCTTTATAGACTTGCAGTTTTACGAAATCCGAAGTCTCACATTTCCGTTTTCATGGCACAAAACCGCCATTATGAAAAAGAATGTTTACGAGAGAACTGATCAGAAGAAATGCGTAAATATGACCGCTTATACAACCAGTCATTGGCGGGTTGTATAAGCGGGTTGGATTCACGGAGGGAGATCGCAGCAAACGCCGGTTTGCCGGTCGAGGGGAACAAAGTCGTGGAGGAAAATACGGGCCAAATGTGTCCTCGATGAAAAGCAGCAGTGGCGATGCATGGGGCAATAAAGTCTATGATAAATAAAACCAACCAACGACTTCCACAGAAAGATGTGACTAGGTTGTATTCGACACGTTACTCCGCCTATTGTTCTGGCGGTGAATTGCTCTGCAACACACGCAAGACTTTTAGAACCATGAATTGAAACGAGTGCGTCGAGGCAACGACGCAGAAGCATGCGCCATCCTTTAGGGATGAGAACACAAGTACATTTCCAAACATGGAAGTCTCTTGGAACTTACCAATCTGAGAGGGGGTCAGGCCTTTTTTGGCCAGCTTAAAGATCTGCTCTTTGACATCATCAGATGTGAGCTTCAACCACTGAAAGCAATGTTTAAATGATTAATTAACTCATCAAAATCAGGGCAAACATTTAAAAATCATCAACCGTATTGTATGACGTTTCTTACAGTGGGAACACTGCGCCTGTAAGGCAGAGCTGACTGGGACAGGCCCTTTCTGTGAAGAACAGACAAGAGACAATAAGACACACTGGAATTCAACTCCAACATGTGAAAGAATATATGCAAATGTAAAGTGTCTATTAACGTTTGTTAGCTTAACTGCAACCAGGGGAAGTTAATGGTGTAGAAAAGGTTGATGGCCGGGCTAACGCTAAATGTAAGCTAACGTTAGCTACTCCCTCGTGTTAGCGTTGACGGAGTCCAACGTTATCTGGTTTGGTTAAAAAAGTTTTTTTTTTCCTTGCCGTCCAGTTAAGTAATCGTGCATATACGCCATGACTAGGATATAACTGTCTAACATAGAAGACAAATTCAAACTGCAAAATCGTGGTGAGCACCATCCGCTGTTAGCTAATGCTAGCTAATGTCAGCTAATACTAGCGTGGTAGTTAGCCGGAGATGGACGTCGAATAGTAGGTACGCGTATGCAAGGTATTAATAGAATCCTAGACAGGATTTAAGGGCTTATTTTACTCCTTAGACATCCATAACATGTCCCCAAGCCATAACAACTAATTGAAGTCAAACTTCTGACACAATATTCTAACTTTAAATCAAGAAAAGAGCACTCACCCGGGAGCGTGCATGCGACCCATGATGGCGATGGAGGCAAAGAGGCCGGATACGCGACAGAAAATGGTATTTTATGCCTCTGTCGGAAGTGACGCAAGTACGCAGTTAAGAAGGCGTTATTGACGCCGCCCAGTCACGCATGATCGTTATGAACGTTATATTTTATTTTGATTCCAAACTTATTTCTCGCAGCCTGGGAGAAACACAAAAATACATAATTTATTATATTGATAATTACATTTTGTCATATAGGATATCCATTGGAGTAGCATCAAATTATTAGAAAGTCATGCACATTTATTTGAATGTTTTATTACGCTTTTTGAACGTAAATCATTACTGTAGATGCAACTAAATAATCACCAATATTTCCTCTACATCCCTTCTCAGCCTGATTGATTGTTTCAATGCTTGAACAAGCCTGAAACATGTACAATGTGCTTCTATTGCAACACAGTGATTAAAAAAGTTCATTATTAATGCTTAGAACAAGGCTATAATATTAACCCAGCAAAGCAGACTGCAGGTTTACTGTGTACAATCGTTTTCAATTTCGGTATGCAACTTGTATGATATGTGTTACAACTATATATGATATTAATTCACTACATTTTTTAAGGGGCATTTAGGTTTTATCTGGATGCTCTCTTAAAGCTCCAATAAATTAAATTATTTATTTGTATTATATGTTTTCTTTTTTTTAACCCACAGATTCTCTGTGTAAGACAGTCGGTGCTGGGTGTCTGTAATGCTTCATTCAGTTTATCTACACCCATCCAATTTTATACAACATAAACAAAGAGCCATATTTGTTCCAGAAACATTTAAGCGTGATTGCAGTACACATGGATCCATTTGGCTTACTGGTTACCAATTAATAATAAATAACGCCCTGACAAACTCCACCTGCTTTTACGTATAGTCACTAAAAGAGTGGATCAAGTCACAAATTCATAGCGTGAGTGATGGTCTCAGATAATTGCCTTGTAGAAACAAAACTTTTTAGAACAATTGAAATTCTTTATTAGACATTTATAACACATTTAGTTTCATGGTAAGCAAAGGGAGAGGGAAGCAGCAAACGCTCAGAATCTTGTTCCCTTTTTGTGAACATGTTTAAAGATAAAGTTGCCTTTTCAGCAGTGATCGGAGTTCAGTTTGCCTGACATTTACTTAAAATTCAGAGCCTTTTTCACTTAAGTATCATAAAACCTGGCTCGATCTGGACTTCACTAACAGTTACTCGTCCCGGCATCATCACACCACTCCTACGCACTGAGCGAGTGTGGTATAACTGCCTCAGAAAGCCTCACATGCAGACTCCAGTTTTCACTCAAAGTCCCTTAACTACATTCTGAAAAGCCTGAATTATGTCGGTTTCCTTCGTGGTTTAAAACCATATGGTCAGCGTTATTAGGCAACCATGACCTCTTAATCTAGATCAGAGACAAGAGTGTTCTGAAGCTCATGATACAAATTCCCTTTTAAAAGGTGTGCCATGTGAAAACAGTCAAGTAATAAGACAAGAGAAGAACCTGGCATTGTGCATTTAGCGGCAGCCCACTTTTTACATAAAACCCCCGATGTGTAGTCCGGCATCAGCCCTGCTCTGTCAGGGATACAGATTTAACTTTAAAGAGTATAGATTTTTCAATAATAAAGGACATATCACATTGTTAATAAAATATATAGCAATAAGGCCAAGTGGAGCATTAAAAAAGGGATTGTGAGCACAAACAAAAGGCACCCTGTCCAGCTCCTGACGTGGGAGAGTGGTTTGATTTTCCGTCCTTCTCATTACTTTTGGCACATTCTTGGGAAACGGTGTGGTCAATATCAATCTGGTGTGTCCGACTCCTCGGCCCAGAAGTGTCTGCTGGGAAGCAGGAAACCCTGATGCCTGCTACTGGTCTGTATCGAACATAAACAAGGAAAATGTAAAAAAAAATACGCACCTATCCATTCCTTAAAAATAAAACGTGTCAATCTATATATACTCTTCTCGTAGTAAGCCGTTTTGGTCCTCAAATATTAAAATGTACAAAACATTAGAGCTCTTTGTTACGGTTTAGAGAAACAGACAAAATAAGCGAAGATTGTTTGTCACAGAAACAATCTTGATTAGTTCAAGAGAAGAACAGTGACGTCCTGGAGAGGGTTTGTGTTGTCGCCGTCCCACGGCGCGCCCCGAGGAGTTTTAAACTCTGCACTCATGTCATATGGGAACATCCGCTGAGGTCGTCATCATCACCATCAGCGACTTGGTGGGGTTCAACCTCGTTTGAAGCCGTAAGTCCGCTGTGAAGTTCTGGAGAATCAACACAAACTTACTTATTGATGTTTCTCAGCGCGGCTGAATCCTTCCCTGCCTTCAGAATATTGCAAATAACATAATTCATGTGAAAGAAATGGTCCATTTGGTTTATTAGATCTTAAAATTAAAAATGAAAAATAAGGGAAAAAAGAAAACTGCCTATACTTTGAATTTGATGTTAGATGTCCCCCCCAGTTTTAAACAAACCAACAAATAAAAATGAAGGGCAGAAAAGGGATTTGTTTGAACTGGAAGATGCCGTTATCGGTGTTTTCAAGTAAGGCCGCATTCTGCCGCTCTGTCCCACGTGACCAGAATGCTGCGTTTGTCTGGTTGCCCCCGGCTCGCGAAGGGGGGGTGGGGGCGCTCTGGGTTAGAAATAGGGCACGGCCGTCAGTTTGTACCACTTGACCGTCTCCTTGCTGAGGTCAAAGTCTTTGAGTCTGAGCGTGATGCCGCCCAGGAAGTAGTTCTCACGCAGCGACTCGGCACTGAGCACGCTCAGCTGGAGCTCCCGCAGACCCAGGGTCTCCTTGCTGTAGCCACTGTACACCAGCTGTGGAGGAAGAGGGGGGGGGGGGGGGGTTAAGGGTCTGCCAAATTCTCAGTTGGGTTTGAACTAGCCACTTAACAGGATGTTCTCATCAAGAGAAAAGCCTTGGCTTATGTTTTAAACAGAAACTACGCAGCAATGAATACATCAGCTTTGTTAACGTGGGCACAGCCTTTCTTTATGCTTTCTCACCATCTCATTGAAAGTAGGGTTCCTGGTTTTCCTTGAGATCTTAGTCTTGCGTTTGGAAGTCTTGTGTGGATCTGGAAGCAGGTAGGTTTTCACATATGGATTGGGATCCGTTCCTTCTTCGGAAACCTGGAGGAGGCCGGACGGATTCATCATATGACAACAGTCAAACAAAAGGAAGCAGCGTGTCTCTCAAAGCAGCATCTCAAGTATTCCATCATCGCTGTTTACCAGATCCCTGATGTGCATGACCATTATGAAGAGATTGCTGTTCCTGTAGGAGACCGAGAGCTTGACTTCTCCTTCTACCCGTCCAGAAGTGGGACTCAGCGGAGGTTCTGCGACAGAATCACATTCAAATTACATCAGCAACCAACTGGTTAAATTCAGGGCTAACCAGCGTGTGAGTGGGGATGCAAAGCGCAGGTGTCATTTACCTGGTGCTTTGGCTTCTAAACCTTCCGTCTTTTCATCCCGTGCAATCGGATGAAAGAAGGTGTACACCAGGTCACACTAGAACCCAAGATGATGAGATTACTTCACTGATTGGTGCAGAGTACTAACATTGTCAGTGCTAAGTCAACTGATGTGTACATGTGTACCTGGGTGACCTCCGTGGAGCTCCTCATCAGGTTGTGGACGTAGTTGTTGAGCTCCAGCTTCCTCTTGGCTGCCACTTCTTTGATGTGGGTGCGACCGAGCACCATCTTGTTGCAGAAACTAGTGACAAGGAGAGAGTATTCACGTTTCCACATCATCGGATGTTCCTCAAAGATCGGGCACTCTACAAAGTCGTCTCACAGAGATAGAGGGAAGTTAAAGGGGCAATAGAGGGCTTGCAAGGACGGGGATATTAAGCTGTATCGTTTCTATGCATGCGAACCTCGTATAACTGACAGACATAACAGACATCGCACCAGTAATTGAGGCCGAGGGTCTCGGCTGCCTTACCTCGGCAGCTTCCAGAGCGGGAAGAGGATGCTGAGTTTGTTGTGGAGCTCCTGAAACTCATCAAAAGTGCGGAAGACAAACTGGGGCTCATTCTGACCGTCCCTCAGGAGCCTCACCACGTACGTCTGCACAGAGAGGACAGGCAGGGAGACGTGAGCGCGCGGTCAGTGCACATCCAGAGAGGTGACGGAACATGGACACAACGATACTCACGTAGTGCTTGTCGGGGTTGTATCTCTTCTGGAAGGAGAAGATAGAGGCGTGGAGGATGCGGCCCTCCTGCTTCAGAGTGTACGTCTTGGGGGAGAAGGACAGAATGGGCTCGTCGTTGGCCGGCAAACCAGAGAATCGTAGCTGGGCGAGATTGTGGATGAAGAAGTTGAACTTGGTGGCCACGCTGCCGAGACTGGACTCTATCAGCCTGGAGAGCAGGGATGAAAGGAGAGTGTCAGACTTAGAGCAGTCGTAAAGGTTCCACGAGGCACAATTATCCGTGAACAAACTCAGTGATACATTAACACATCTGGTTTTAAGAGAACAAGGTCCATATGATAGTTTCATATGTTTAAGTGTGATGGATCTGCCATGAGCCTGAGCCAATCACAACAACGACTTAAGTCCATCGCCACAAAACAGGGAACAAAGTGGTCTTCAATTGTGACAGGTGCCTTTGTCACCCAGCTGGTCCATTGCCACAGCAACCCAGGTAGTAAACATTTCAAGTTATCTTAACTAAAAAATGAACTTTAACAATTGTGCTATGTTTTTATGAATCACATTTTAGCCAAAGTGACATTTTAAGTGGTTTTAATGTTTTAACCTTACGCCAAATAACTATGCCTGTGCACTGACTCCGCGCAATGACAAATAAAGATTGTAAACCAAACCCACATAATGATGTCCTTTTATTTATTGATCAATGTAAAGATGAATGTTTAAGATGCGTGTGGCTTAAATCCTGGCCATCACAGTCAGTTTGAGACAGTTTGTGTTGTGGGGGTCGTCGTGACGCAGGGGGGTAGAGCGGGTGTGCTGGGAACCGCAAGGTTGGTGGTTCAAGTCCCGCTGCCACATGTTTCAAGTCGAAGTGCCCCTGAGCAAGACACCTAACCCCTAATTGCTTCCCGGGCAAAATGTGAAAAAGCCATGGATGTAATGTAAGTCGCTTTGGATAAAAGCGTCAGCTAAATGACATGTAATGTAATGTGAGTCTACTATTAGACTAGGTTACTGCCACCTGCTGGAGGTCCTGGAACTAACTCTTCTCAAAATAAAAGCTCTTGCCAAAACAGCAGCTGTGCAAATGAGTAGAGACCAAAAAAAAGATTGATTGATTCGTTCCTTTCTAGATGTTTCCAGGGTCATTACATTCAAAACATTGCCAACCTGCCAATTAATGTTTAAAAACAGAAGTCAATGCATTTTGAGGTCAAATCGCCCCACCATAATTCACCTGGTGAAGAAGATCGTTGCCTCAGCATCCGTGTTGTGAGGCTGCAAGGCATCAAACACGTACTTCAGATCCTGAGAGCCGGCCAGCTCGGGGAGGCCTGAGGACGTCATCTTCAACACAGACATAGATTTACTCATTTACCCATCATGTACAGTCAAATAATTACAAAAAGGAAATATATTATTCTGTTGTTTGGGCTTACAGAAGTGTGTACAGTGTGTGTGTGTGTGTGTCCACCGTCTCACCAGCGTCAACAGGTTGAGGAACAGCCCAGAGTGCTTGCGGATGAGGTTGTAGGCTTGGCAGCATAAGTCTACAAACAGCTGGAAGCGACTGGTGGGACGCTCCCCTCCGTTGATGACGTACGCCATGTCGGAGGTGAGAACGAACGGAGCGCGGTCCCTGATGGGAAAGAACGGCGGGGAAGGGGGGGTTTACTCTGGATCAGGAGAGTGAAGGCAGCACACTAAAACGAAGGAGACACACTTGGTACACAGCATCTAAATATTTCAGTGGCGATGCTCAGAAGCTAAGAATAGTGTGGTTGCCGGAATGGGAATGAGTGCAGTGTGGGGGCTTTGAACCGGGTCTTGCTTGTCCAGTGACGCCATCACCTGAAATGTCTCAGAAAGTAACCTGGTGACAACAACACATTGTGAAGACCAGCATGCACATGGTATATATATATATATATATATATATATATATATATATATATATATAGGAGCCAACTGGCACCTGACATTTCACGTGTTATCTGATAGCAAAAAGACGACAGTAGACATTCTGATACACTTTCATGGAGAGACCGTTCAACCCTAAGAGGCATTTTAGATTTTCACCTTTTGAAGCTGCCAAACATCTGGGCGTGGCCCAGGAACTTGCCAAAGTCGATGTGGAACATGTGTCCGGTGGAGCGCAGCATGATGTTGTCATTGTGTCGGTCGCAGATGCCCAGCACGTAGGTGGCCACGCAGCAGCCCGCACAAGAGTAGATGAAGTTCTCTGATGCCTAACAGGGGGGAGGAGGGAGAGACACACTGGATCAGGGTGTTGTCCAGCCACAAAACGCCTCCACATAAGCACGTATTTGAAGATGAGTTCATTTGTGCGTCTTGCTGAAGTTGGGAGGCAGTAGATTGTCAGAGGTGACGAGTGTGAAGTAAGGTGTCACATCACGCGAAGGCTTTGTGTGTTTTTACCTTCTCATACTCATCCTCGGCGGGGTTGTACTTGCGGAGCCACTCAGCCAGCGGTTTGTCCTTGAAGGATCCAGTGACGCCATACTCCACCTGGATCTTTCTCAGTGTGTCAGAGGACGGCACCAGCTCCACCATGCCTCCACAAAAAAACATCACAACTGTTAATTAAATTCATTTTCCTTTTTTAAAAGGAGTGTGACATAACCTTATAATAACAATGTCTGCTTATCAGTCATAACCAGATGTTAGAAGCCACGGCCTTTTCAATTAACTGACAGGCTGATATCCATCATTTCTGCTCGTACCATCTGACACCTCCTGTTGCCATGGTTTTTCGTTTCAGAAAGAAATGTAATTGTCTTTCTACATATTGAAGTAACAAAACCTCTAGTGGGCATAACCTATTCTTCTTTTAGGAACATACTTGACCTAGATAGTTTAAACTGTTTAGAGACATGTGTAGCTAAGTGTAGACCATCGTCTAGACGACAGGTGGGCGAACTTGCTACCTTTGTCTTTGCCGGTGGAGATGCATTTGAAGTTCACAATGCGGAGGTCCAACCCCTCTTGGAGCCAGATGCGGTCCATGATGCGGATCATCTGAAGAGCCAACATGTCTTGCCTCAAGTCCTCACCAACCTGACGCAGACAAACTGACGCGTTACACTCTGCCCTTTCGTATCACAGGCAAAGGTTCACTTCTTCGGCCACCAGGGGGCGCATTGTTCAGATGAGGAGCATGTAAACAGCCTTTGTTTAAAACAAGTTCTGATGTGACTGGTGACAACTTCCTAGTTTAACTAAGTGCACAGCGGGTGAAGGTCTCAGGTGTGCACAGACCAGATGGCTGCTCATATACTTTTAATTTTCATCACTTTTACTGTGAGTGTCCATACACAACTTTCAAAACCCTGCGAGTGGGTCCAGTACCTTGAACATGACATTGATCTCTTCTCCCAGGGGGTCGGCGTTCACCAGGGCCAGCTTGAGGGGAACTGCGTTGGAGTTGAAGAAGGAGCAGGCCTACACAAACAAACAGACAACGCAGTATGATTTTAGTCCTCTGCACTACATTGCGTTGTTTAGAAGATGCAGCTTTACTACAGCATCAAAATGTGTATTTATCTGGTTTATAGAGTCAATGAATACACGTCAAAACAGTGGCTTTGTTTCACCTAACCGGAGACCATCATTAAGCTTCTGCAAAGACAACCATGGAGTGATAAATTGCATGAGGATTACGTCAACATAATACATAGTCATACTTCAATGGGGGTCTAAATTCAATGACCAATTAACATTTAAATGGCTCTATAAAGCCCAAAGGTATACACAACTATGGCTAGATAGAAGCACCGTAGTACTAGTTTACTCCCTCTTTTTCAAGAAATATCTATAATATATGAAATATGATGAAGATCTGTCAGATGTTTGAGTGAGTATGGATGCATGCGTTTGTTGAGACTTCAGTATAATGAGCTCACTTATGGATCTGAACCACAGAAGTTCTATAATGAGTATGTAGCGGCTTCCTGACCATATGTTCTTTGGAGGTTTAGTGCTAATTTGTTGTAGATGAGCAATGTCCATTGTGGTGAGAGGCGCGTATTTAACTGAATATGATTATAGAGGATAGATGTATTTAGCAGAGACCTTGATTAATTCATCATTGATAGCCTGTGTGTGTGTGTTACCTTAATGTTTAGCTCCTTAGCCACCAGACTGGGGCTGAGGGGCAGCCGGCAGCTGTTCCTCTGGAAAAAGTTCTGAACGTTTTCAAGGCCCTCCTGCAGCGCCACCTGAACACACACAATCCAAAACACAAACGCTCACAAACACTGAAGACACAGTGACCTCTTTCCTGTTTCTAACTAAAAAAGGTTCTCTTGGAACTAGCGTGAAATAGTCAGATCTCCCACACACACACACCTGTCGCGTAGAACCCCCGGCCTGTCGAACCCGCTCAGCCACGGCTCCCAGCAGGGTGACCAGGTTGGTTTGCTTCTCCAGCTCGGCCCTGAGCTTGACTCCACACAGACACAGCAGGGCACCCAGCACCCGCTCGTAGCGCCGACCCCAGGCGGGATCCTGCACCGCGTCCTTCAGCAGCCTGCAGCCATCACACACACACAACCATTTAAGGAACACCCCCTTCCTGGACAGCAGCCCCCCCCCCCCCCCCCACAAGACATACGTACTATTACTGCATTCCCTACAAAGAGCCTTAGTACTGAGATCGTAACTCACTCACAAGGAATCACTTTGTTCAAATAAGTACCCTAAAGGACCCTTTCAGTACTCAATGACCATTATGTTTGTTGTGTTAATTCATACAAGCCACTTACAAACCAGAAAGGAGCAATGGTTGCATCTCCAGAGCTGCTGCCTACTCACCAGTAGAGGTAGTGGGCGATATTGATGTTGCCTTGCGCCCTGGACAGCAGGAACATGACGAGGCCATTTTTAAGATGACACTCAAACTTTAACGCCTGTTCAGAGACAGAGGAGATGAGTTTCAGAGTCGTTTTTAAAGTGCACACGCTATTTGTTGAGGGATTTTTAGCTGCACCTGAACTAGCTGTGGCAGGTAGTCAGTCAGCTCATCGTCACTGCTCTTCTCAATCCAACTAACGGCCACATTTCTTACTTCTGTGTCTGCAAACCTGCACACACGACAAACAAAGACCCTTAAGGGTTAAAAAGCAAAACCAATACGGTTGACTTTTTATATTATTATCCTCGTAGTGACTCTAAAGGCGCGTACTTTGACTCGAGCAGCTCCAGCGCAGTGACGGGGGGCAGCGGGGGCCAGTGGTGCAGCAGGGAGTGAATGTGAGCCATGCTGGCCCAGTCCCAGCTGGGCACGCTGGCCAGCACCTTAGGGAGGCTGCTGGGGTGGTGCTTCCGACAGTGGAGCCGATGGTCCCATAGGAGCTGGTGGTCTGCCCTCTTCAACCTGGAGACGGAACCAAAACAGACGGAGGGGGAAGATACATGATAAAAGATGTTATCCATCAAACAACAACCGATTGATGGAACACACACACACACACACAACGAGGCAGTGAGACTGCAGCCTCAAAAGTCTGGGGAGATGAATGGGAGCCAAACAGGCAGCAGGCAGTGAGAGCCCACTGAGAGAGCACTGCGTGCCGGCTGGTTCTCATGGATGTTGGCAAGCTGGAAGAGCTCCGGCCGGCGGGCGGCAGCGGGAGAACCGAGCCGGGCCCGGAGCAGCTGGAAGACAACAGAAACACTGGGGCAGCAAACGTACAGGGCGTTTATGGGGAGCCACAGCTGGCAGCAGAGTCAGCGGCATCTTTTTAAAATCTCTTCCTAAATCCATTAAGTCCGGTGGATTTCCATTGGTCTGGGGGACGGCCAGAGAGACGTCTGAGGGGCATAAATCCAACCAGTGACACTGCACGTTTTTGAAACTCTCACAACACAGAGTACTTTAATGGCGCGTTTCCACCGAGCAGTACAGTACGGGTCGGGTCGGTACCCTTTTATTTGTGTCTCCACTGCCAGTTGAAAATGGTACCAAAAATCCGAACCACACCGTACCACTTTTTGGGTACCCTTCCGTTGGGGTATCTGGCACAGTTTCTGGAATACACCACGCCTATCAAGTAAGGGTACTGTTGGCGGTGGAAACGCTCGGCAAATCATGGTTAACAGATGCGACCCGTACCATACCGCTCGGTGGAAACGCGCCATAAGTCTTCTAAAAGGACCAGACAATGTGAACAGAATACAGTTCTAATTCAGAATAAACTACGCCGAATAAATGAAATGTTCTGCAGAGCCAACATGTATTCCATGTATAAAACAAAAAGAAGCTGGTTTTATTAGACACCATTTAAACTGTGGGATGTTGTCTTCCATACACATGGTGGTAAAGAATATTTTAATATCATATTTAGTTATTTTTTACTCTTTCAATCGGCATTTTAATAAAAGCTTGAAATTCAATTCAATTAAAAAAAAAAAAATTTGTACAAGAAGCACATTTTATACATTGAGCTGGCAGCATTAAGAAATAAATCGATATTTTATGTCTTTTATTTATCACTCAGCGGTCAAACCATTCTATAACTGGAGTAATTGAAATCATTCTTTGTTAGAAATGTTCCCGATATCGATTTCTACCCTGAGATGATAACCCACCCTCATAGTTGTGAAAACACGCTGGAGGTTCTTTTACCCAAAATTGGAAGCACGGCTGCAGATTTTCTCCAGATCGCGTTGCAGATCGGGGTCCAGTTCCTCCAGTGCGTCGAGGTCAAGTCTGGGTTCTTCCTTTGGTCCCACATACAACACGTCCAGCGCCGAGTTGGGGAAGTCCACCTGACGGCAGCACAAAACGTTAATTCAAGAAGGCTGAATGTGGCTGAATGAAATTGCCATCAACACTAGTGATGGATGCTCCTTCACAAACACCCACCTGCAGCACTATTTTCTCTGTGGGCACCTTACTGCGGCCGCCTGCAGAGCCGGCGGCTCCCTGGGCGGATGTCCACAGACACAACAACCTGCTGCCCTTGGCGAGCACCCTGCAGAGCACAGTCAGCAGTCACAACTCAGTGATATTTCATTTTCCATTACAATTAGGACGTCCACTCAAGGAGGACACGCAAAAACACAACCAGCCACAACCGGCCGTTGCTCTCTCCTCACCGTCTGAAGTCAAAGAGCGGCATCGAGACTTTGCCCAGCAGCTCCGGCGCTTTTCTCTGCTTGTTGGAGTCCGGGGAGCCGCTGGCATTCTGGTACAGAACCCCAAACAGAGTCAGGCTCAGTATGGACTCCAGTGGGAGGACAGCTACTGCTATCGGGAAGTTGATCCTGGGAGGAAAAGTAAGGACACAGTTGTTCAAAGAAGAGGTGAGGGGAGATGACAAGAAAGGGTAGAAGCAGAGTGGAAGTAGAAAATGAAACTAAATCATTGAGGAAAAAAAAAAAAAATGTATGATTGCTATCTCAAAGGAAAGAGGAAAAGAAGGAAGAGAAAATGGCTCCTCATTTCCAGTAATATAAGGAATATAAAAGGAAACCAAAGAAGAGAAAAGCAGATGAAAAGAAGGGAAAGGGAGAGGAGCAGCATTTTGTTTACTTGTTGTTAGGGAATAGCAGAGAAGAAAGGCGACAAGAGGAGAGGAAAGGAGATGAGAAGGAAAGGAAAGGAGAGGGGGAGGAGAGGAAAGAGACCAAGGAAGTCACTCACAGTTCATCCCATTTGATGTGGTAGAAGAAGCTTTTGTATGTGCCCACTCTCTTGGACTGGACCGGTTTAAACAGGTTCTTGCCATTGTGGGTGAGGGAACACATCAGGAAGTACTTTTCATAACTGCAACAAAACAACACAATGCATGTTTCTACAGTGCCCACTTGTCTTTAAGATAGAGGCTCTGACCGACATTTACACACCCAGTGGATTTGACAAAACAGATCAAAGTATATTACGCCCTTGCTCGGTGGTTGCTAGGTATTAATGATGGTACCGTACAGCCCAACGTCATAATGGTGCGTGTGTGCAAAGGGGTCCTGTCAAACTTAAATTTAAGTATACTTCAGCTTTAAGGAAACTCAGAGATAAGTACCCTTACTTTTTCTTTCACGCTCCCTAAGCAGACTAAAACCATCTACCACTGATTACAACTACTGAAGCACTAATTAGACTCCCACACAGGTCCTTTCAGTTATTTCAAGTAGACCCGACACATTCTCAGGGTGGTTTTCACTCTCCTCCCCAAGAAAGGTGCATTAAATCACATTTGAAACTCCAGTGTGGTGGGCCATGGCAACCTAGAGGTGTGATACAACAAAACAGCTACTTGTTATCTTAAGTCTCATCGCTTTCATGAGTTAAAAAACAAAATAAAATAATTACAGCCAATTACATCCGCTCGTACCGACCAAAGGGTTTTATATTTCCATACGTGATGCAATAAAAAGATATTTGCCACATCCTGCGACATTTAGTGTTGTTGTTGTTGCTGCTCCACCACACATCCCAAAATGACCACAGCATTTTCATTGGAGATGCATATGTGAACGGAGGGGCCAAATACCAAAAACACTTGCTTTCACTACCACGGGCACCGCTCTGTGCCATCTGTGTTGGCACCAGTCACGGAGTCTCAATATGCCGGCAGCGCCGTGGCATGCAGCGAGGCTCCAGATGGACGACACACGAGCCACAACAACGCCAAACGCTCAGAGCCTCAAGGAGCGGGAAGGGGGGGACACGACAGATATGCCCAGCTACCCTTCTGGGCAGGGAAATACTGTGCACGCTTTATTCCTCTGGCTCGGGAGAGGTAAATATTTTTGGAGGTGTCTTTGGAATGACTGTCACTGGAGCAATGTTTGGTGGCCTAAAATAGCTGGCGGAGGAGGCTGTGCTGGAGTAAATAGGCCTGTTAGGCAGTTCCTTTCGTTCTTTTACAGTCAGCGTAATCTCTTCACCAGACTCCAGTCAAATCTACAACGGATGACTGTTCTTTGTGATGTCAAAAGGTGGAAGGACAGTGACAATCTTATTTCTGTTCCCCCAGATGTCCTTTGTAATTTGAGTCTTTTAACTCTTCTTTTCTCTGACAACAAGAGTAACAAATTAATTTCTTAATTTCTAGACCTAACAAACCCAGGCAACAATGCGCTGATCCTGGTCACTGATGCATGACAGAGCAGGGGAACGGGAAACTAGTCTCAGCTCGCTCACTGGGCCGGACGCACGCAGGAGATGAACTGGGGGGTGAAACTGGACACTGGCATGGAAAAAACAAGACGTGGGGAGCAGCACCGTTGGTTTAGCAGAAGAAAAAAAAAGACTGAGCTCCGACAGCGCTGTCTAATGTAGTCTAAACAAACACTCTCACAGGTCCTCCCTCCTCAAACACTAATCCGGATCATGCAATGCACGTTTTCCCTCCTTGTGTTACTTACCTCGGTTACTTGTAAATTGTCCGCACTTAAGCATACACTTAACTTTTGAATTCTGCATAGCCTTCAAACCCATTTCAACCCCAGAAGTACAATTAAATTATATGTGGGTGTTCCTAATAATAGAGAAGTAGTGAGTGATCATTCACGAAGAAATACATGAAAAAAAAAAAAAAAAAAAAAAGTACCTTGACTAGTGACACGTTTAATTTCACATTAACCTTGAATAGAATGAACATCCAAACGTTCTACTTCAAAATGCATCCATGTACTAGCGAGTCATTTTACGATGCTAATGTCTGCACGAGTAGCATCATCAGCTACAGAGTCTCATCTCTGACACATTTATCTCCTTCACTTGTGGGTTTTCCAGCGCCATTATAAAATAAAGACCCTCTGCCTCTTTTACCTGCTGACCCAGTTGGCCGGGATGCCGTGCAATGCGAACAGAGTGAACTGGAGGTGTTCTGTGGTGCCAGAAGCCTCTTTGCTGCTCTGACCCACCACGCCTTCCCCGTCTGCAGGCCGGGGCAACGAAGGGGAGCTGAAGGAGGCCGAGGGGGCGCAGAAGGAACGCAGGTAGAGCTTGGCCAGGTCGTAGACGGCCTGTGTCAGTAGGGCCATGCTCTCCTCCAGAGGACTGCTGTGACCTGTCCAGTCAGGTGAGGTTGTAGAGATGGTCATTATAGTTGTTGTATTTTTATATACATATATATATATATATATATATATACACATATACATATACATATATATATACATATACATATACATATATATATACATATACACATATACACATATATATATATATATATATATATGACTGTGTGCAGAACTTACCATTTGGTGATTGACCAGCAGATGTGGACCCCATCTACACAATCAGAACATGTTGGTGTTAGGGGGACATCCTTGATCCAAACAATGCCGTGTGTGTGCGTGTGAGGCGTGCCCACCTTGGGTGAGTGAGTCCTGGGTAAGTTGACGGAGTGTCGCAGCCTTTTCACTGCCTCAGTGATGGCTTGGGTCTCCACCTCATCCAGGCCGCAGCAGAGGTTCTTCAAAGTTTGGACCACCCGGTCGGCGGTCTTGTAAAGGGTCTTCTGAACATGGAGAGCAGGTTGGTGCAGCTGGTGTCCATGCGTCGCAAATAAATCTTTTCATTCTCATTTTTAAGTTGGGTTGAGAGCGCAGCGTTGTTCTAGCTGCGGTTCAGTCTGTATTTAATTAAGCCTACATTTTGAAAACCAGATGTGCAGTTTCTAGAATGCCCGCCCTCCAGGAATGTCCTGGTATGCGTTCATCAATGTGTGAAGTATTTGAAGCGACAACAATTGGCGGCCTTTACCTTTTACTTTATCGGGTGAAAGACTGATTAAATGTTAAGTCTCGATACACTGGGCAGCTACACACAACCTTTCTGCACAGTCCGGTGATACAGATACTGTTAATATCATTGTTTTCCCAAACGTAACAAGTGGGAATGTTGACATAAATGAGTTTGAAGACTGGGACGACCCGTACCTCATTTTGAAGGCAGATGTTGACTTGATTGTGGTAGCCTTCTAAATAATCAGCAAGGCCTTGTCTGCAAGACAACACACAAGAGAGGAGTGAGGGATGGGAAACGACAGAACCCACAGATCACGACACGATGTAGAAAGTTTAATTTAGTTAGCTGAAACTAACTTGTGGGACTTTCAAGAGCCGCAAATTAAACTAAAGCTACTCAAACCAAGTAAACGTTCTGAAGACCAGGCGAGAGTCAATCAAATTTCTTTATAGTTTTATAGTTACCAAGAAAACTAAATTGATAGTTCGGTAATATTTTTTCCCCAACCAGTGTGGGAGCCTCATACCTGGTGACGTTCTCCTTGAACGGCCTCTCCACCTGGCCGAGGTGCTTCTCTAAATCTACCAGAGAGTTGTCATCTTCCGCCTTAACAAAAGAAGTCGAGATTAACAATGGGCGATTTGATCATTTATATATATATATAAAATCAAATTTTGACATCATTCCACCAACAGAAGACAACGTGTCGTGTCTCTCCAGCATTGGGACACCCATTGCAAATTGATCTCAGCGGTGCAACATGAACTGATGTCAGTCCTCTAAAGTTTACAAGGGCTCATTGCGTGAGGCGGCTAGAGTGACTTACAGTGCGGGCCAAGTCTCTTCTCATGGTGGAGTGAGAGAGGAGCTGCAACGTGATCTCATTCTCCCACTTCCTGCAGTTCTGGACGTACTCATGGCTGCCGAGGCTGTGTTTACTGGGGCAGAGACGCAAGGTTCAGAAAATCATACCGTTTGTCTACGACAACTATCAGCAATTACAAAAGAATATAAATAAAAAAGTGTTGTCTCCTTCAGAAAGAGGACTTAGTTTATATAACCAAAGTCAGTAATTATCCCTCTTATACTATAGACAATTTCCCATAAATGTAAAAACATTTGTTTTGTATATATTTGGGGGACAACGCACTACTTTGTCAAGTTGTTTGTATTTGGTGTGGAAGCGAATTGTTAAGTGCCACTTTGCAGTAATGCAGATAACTTTGGGTTAACTTCCCAAAGCCTGATATGTCACAGATTCTTTCTGCCGAAAATATCTCTACACAGCAGAAGAAATGTTGAAAATGTCAGGAATGTCATTCTTTGGAGATAAACCGTCCACCTGAGACAGTTTAGATATTTTGTGTAATCAGTCCTACAGTTAGTCCTGTATTAACAAGTTAGTCCTGGTAAGGACTCTCACTTCATGACCAACATCTGGGAAGTTGATGAATAGCTTTAGGCCTCATCCAGAGAGGTGAAGCAACAATGTAATTGTTAAACGCGTCAAAGTATTGATGATAAACCCGATTTACACTTTATTCAATGGCTCTCAGTGTATCTGCAGGAAATGACATTTTCCTCAAATGAGTAACATAAATCAATAAATACCTCCGAGGGTAAATACTAATTATGTAACAAGGACATATGCGCGTTCTGGTTACAGTGTATCTTCACTTATCATACAAGACATTCTTCTATTCAGCAGTGGTAGTTTCTGTCGTGTTGACTCACTTCTGCAGCACCTCCTCCTGGCCACAGACTTTGAGCAGGTAGCTGGAGAAGTCCACCTGGTCCAGGTCATTATGGACCCAGCACAGAGTCTGACTGATCAACAACTCCACTGGAGAACTCACTGCAGAAGGAGGGTGAAGAAGACCGAGGGGAAAGGGAACCACGTGGAAAAGCCAGGGGAGATGGGAGGAGTCAGCGGTTGTTGACAATTAAGAGACGGAAGGAGGGAATGATGGAAAAGAAGAAAAAAAAGACGTAACGAGAATGTGGTACAATGCTTTTAAAACAACAGGATTGACAGATTATACCGCAATTACAGGGAACTAAAAACAAGCACAATAGAAGGTGCATCAACATCACCTGGATGTTAATATGTTGGAGAAAAAAAAAGAACGGGGCACTTTGGAGAAACATATCCCACACATGCATGCATTATTTGAGGGATCAAAGGTTAAGTGTCAATTATGTTATGCTACAAAATGATACCATCCAAAATGGATACCCGGCTGCCACTGTTGAAACTGATCCCATCTCATTTATCACAATTTCGCTCTAACCACAAACCTCGCTGCTGCCTTTGACCGGCTCATGTATGAAGCCGGGTCTCCGGCTCAAGGAATTACAGCTGTGACTTGTGGGGAAAATTGAGGTGAGCTCCTGTTTGCGTATGCTCGGATATCTGATGCGACAGGCCGAGGGACGTCTGCATAGAGCGCGAAAACCGACGCGCGGGAGATTACCCCCACTTCCAAAGAGGTTTCAGCACATTCTTCACCTCGCCGGTACACAAACACGGAAACATCTCGGATTACACTCGGGTTACTGTACAGACGTTCCTATAGACACACAGGGAAGTGGGGGGAACACGCCTGGCTCAAACCGACCTCCACCCTCCGGGGAAATAGTGCGTCTCTCTTTACCACTCCAATCGGTAGCTTTAGCTTCACGGCCGTTATGTGGCCTCAGCGGCGCACGCCAGGCCTCTACATGCGTGGCAGAGTTCTGTAACAAGGCAATCAGGACGGGCAACGCCTTATTCTGTGAGCGCCCGAGGTGCTGAGGGGATTCACAGTAGGGCATTACAGTTTAAAAGAGTTAAAGAATTTCTCAATTGGTCGGGGACGCGCTTGGAGAGATGAAGTCACTCAGCACTCGTTACATCCACTGGAGCAACATATTTTGAATAAAGAAGAGGAATGATATAATTCCTACGTGACAAAGAGCCAACAGAGCCCAAAGAACAATGTGGCAGAAAATACAGGCTAGAAGTGAAACATGATTAGGCGTCCTGTGATGTCTTCAGTGACTCCCCCACACCAGCAGCTTATCTCCCACTCAACCTTCACCCACAAATCAGCGTGTCATCAAAGACACAGGAACATCTGGAGACGAGCAGTAGCGCCGTTTTTAAACTGGCTAGATATGCTGAGTCGGCAGTTTGTGCGATAAACCAACGTAGCCAGGGACATTGTCTTGTTTATCAGTTTAGTCTCTGAAGTGATGACACGTTCAAGAGGCTTCAGGAGATGCTGCTGAGGAACAAGGATGGTGGAGAATATTGTAAAGTGAGGGAAGGCATAGAGGAAGAAATAGAGAAACACGACAAAGGAAGTGTGGGACGGCAAAAGTGAAACGGAGCGATGCAACAGAAAGAGGGGAGGAGGACAAGTGTCTCGCCCAGTCTTTGTGTCCCGAGCTGAGAGTGAACTGAGGCCCTTTGTTCCCGAGAGCCAACTCCAGCAGTGTCCGTCCGATGTGCGTCAACACGCCCGCCGACAACACGGGAAGACAACTAGGAGACAACCAACCGGATATGGTACTCGGAGGAGGGAACACATGAAGGCACTTCCTCTAGGATGCTGCCGTTCAACTGGGTCAATGCAGACGGGTGAGTGGGACAGCTTGTTACGTATACATAGACATACTTATAGATGTACAAACAATAAACTGACATCAGCACACACGCCTACTGCTGATCCTCAGGGAGCCATACTGGTGAACATGGTCCCAGTTTGGATAACACACCAAACAAAAAGGCCCAGTGGGCTGGCCGACGGCCTCCAGCGTGCTCAGCTTTGTACACCAGAAGACGTGTCAATTGGTTGTAGTTTTGTGCAAGTACAACGAGGGGTTAGCCAAGAACAGCTCCCCGAAATACCCATGGAAGTAACCGCCCCCCAAAAAAAGGTCCAACATGCCCAACATGGTTACTTCTTGGTGCGGGGACGGACCTTTGTTTGTGTGGAGAAGGGAACGTGGTGTACTTCCCACGACAGAAAAAAAAGGAGGAAAAAAAGGGGGTGGGGTGGGTGCAAAGACTGTGGCAGCTGCGGATTTCGACTCCTCATTCGGAGCGCTCATATCTGCAATCTGAGCTGCTCCCTCTTAGCGGCGGAGTGGGCACAAGTTTCCCTTTTTGGGTAACTTTAATTTGATGGTATATCATCTGTGCATTCCTGGTATTCATTTCTTAACACCGGGCCGTGGAAAACAAGTTAAAGATCTCTAATTGACGGAGTAAGATGGTGGTCAAAAATAAGGGCGTGAAATCTACCACATGCTCCGTTACCCGGGGTCACGGATGGTTCATATGAGGGTCCTTATGTCACCGGATACTTACCGTCACAGGTGAAGGTTACCGGCTGCTGAGATTCTGAGATTTCAATGGAAACCTTGACAGAGCAGCTATTGTCCGCCCCTCCGTCTCTCTGGGTGATGACTGGGCTCAGGACGAAGCCGGGGTTGGTGGACATGTCCCCATGAGGGAATCTGGAACGCAGACTAGAAAAAGGACAAAAAAAATTAAACTTTTTGCGGTCAGACGGTTATTTACATGAAAAATCAACATTCCTAGTCAACATTCTGCCTTGAATGCTGTCGCGTGATACTGTTATTTTCTTCATCTGCACTCGTGAGAGGTTTGGTTACGTATCGCAATGTAAGTTGATTCCGCTTCATCACCACTCCACCCAAACTAACTGCTGCAGTGAGAGACTGTGCAGCAAAAAGCGTGCAGATGCTTTCACACTCAAACAAAAAAAACAAAAAACATGTTGCATTATAAGCCTGAGGAGGACTTTTCTTTCCCGCCGACAGGAAGGATCTTACGCTGCTACGTCTTCACAGAAGGCGACAACCTCGAGGCTTTGAGCATCCTGTTCTTCCAGGGCGGCATTCTTCACCAAACCTTTTCCCTTGTCCTACAGGAGACACAGAGAGAGAGAGAGAGAGAGAGAGACAGGGCTGTTACTCTCACAGACTCGCCTGTTGCAGAGAACTCTGAGCTACAGTCATTTCTTTCCTTCTTTTTCTTTTAACTGCTGTCTTACGGTCAGCGGTTAAGGAATGCGCTTCCTGTGGCACAGGAAATGAGAAGTGAAAGGGCCCCGTCCCTTCCTGCACTGGCTGTGGGCAAAAGTGCTCCGTCACAGCCTGGAAATTTGTGCCTGTGACATCACCCAGGAAAGAAAAGGGGAAACGAGGGCGAACATTTCAGGAAAGTCATCGTAATGGTTCATTCCGAGAGATTTATGGGCCGAGAGTTTCTCTTTTTGAGGAGCTCAGGGGAAGTCACAGCTTATTTGTCATGAAACAGGAAATCAAGCACATTGCGTCGGGTTATAAATTGCCCTTGCAAAACCGTACGAGCGTTTTAAACATTCTCACATCAGACGAATAAAAATGGTTTTGATCTTTCCCTCCACTCACAATCTGTTTAGAAATCCCAGCCAGTTCAGACACAATTTAATGTTAAGAATTATTGAACCCCTACAAAATAGATCTTCAAGTGAAGAAAGAAAACGGAGCACCAACCGAAATTACCAAGATCACAACATTGATCAGATTAACCCGAGATATCATTTAGACCAGAACGGTTGCAGCCCACAGAGTTCAAAGTGCTGATCCGCTGAACAGCAGATCGGAATCTAACAGCCGGCATATGGAGTGAGGAGAGGAGGCCACCGAAACCCACCCAACCGCCTGCACCTCCGAGCAGGGGGGCGAGCCGAGATCCCGGCTCAGTCATTTCTGTCCCAAACCGGGGACACTTTTGCACACAGTGTGGTCAGAGGGTTCAACTTGACACGTCGCTCTGTATTTGATCGCAGAGGAAAAAAACAAAAACACACAATTTCAGAGGACTGGAACAGTTCAGAAATGTAATGCGTGGCTGGAGACAGACGTACGGTGCTTCCCACAGCAGCAGCAGACGGGACAAACACGGTGGCTCGGTGGGTTTTTAGCAACGATACGAGTGGGTTACCGTTTGGCCTTTTGTGGTGCATACAAACCAGGACGCACACAAACACACAAAAGTGGCTTCTACCTTACAGCTCTCATAAGGCCTCAGCGCACAATGCATGCACACAGACAGGATGCACAGACGAGTGAGCGTCGCCGACTACAGTAGCGAGCCGAGAGGCTTAAAAACTACCACTGACGGCCGGTGGTAATTCCAAGCCCGGCATCGAGTAACACTACACCCCCAGACATCAGATACCTGCTCGCCGCTCTGTGCCAGCTCGTGAAAATGACCCGACGGACCAGAGGAAAGAGTCACTTGAATGTTCATCAGCCAGTCAACAACGGAGCGGCCTTAGAGGTTCTAAAATCTCCAATCTGGGCATAATTGATGAGTTAACAGTGGAACATTTTGGTTTGATAGTGATCCAACTTTCGTTGTGACAGATAAATGCTATAATAATAGCCTCAAATCAGCGGCTTGTACAGTCATTTGTAACTGTAAATTTAGGCATTTTATCTGACAAACTGCAAAAAGAGTCTTAATTTTACGACATATGGTTATGGGGTGGATCCAGCAATGGCTCAGCGAGCCATAATGTCTGCAAAAAGCTCAGTGTTTCACATCAGAGGAACCAGCTGGCCACAAAACACAACTTCTCCTTTCGATCCGGAAATGACTGACAGCTAATTCAGTCGGACCTTTTTGTGATGTACTGAAGTCACATCTGATCATTCACTAGTTGTGTGCCTTTTAGTATCTGGGTTCTACCTGCTTCCTCAATTCATCTTCCACATCGCACCTCTTGCGTTTCTGCCAGTAAACAAGGTCAAAATGTCACAAGGGAGCGGTTTTCCTCAGTTAGTCGCACAGTTAATGGGATCCAACACCGGGAAGTACGACATCTTCTAGACCTGCAGTCTGCCTGAAGGATCATCGCTCCATGGCCATATATTTCAGATGTAATTAAATGATAATAAAAGCCTCAGGAGAGGCACCCTGCGGAGGTGTGAGAGCTGCTGGAGGCCTTGAACTGCGTGGGAAGGAGACATCTGATGCAACATGCGCAGTGCGTGCTGGCCTCCTGTGGGGTTCAGTTTCACAAATGCTCGCTGCGATCTTGAACCACAGCTCATGTTCAGATTAAACATTTTTGCTGGCTCAGACCCGCAGGGTCATCTGGAAGGAACGGTGCAGGAAACAAACAGGCACCGACATGCTCTTTGGATCTGCAATGAAAGCGCTAGAGAAACACTTCAGGGTGCATTTTAACAGAGCAACTCAAACCCAAATCCAGCCGGCTGTTTCATCTGAGCTCATTACAAAATCATCCTCTCCAGTAGGGATGGCCAGTTAGTCGGGCGGACAAGCGTGCGTGCTTCACTACCTTCCATCTCTTGGAATCAGTATACATCTGCAAACAAATCCGTTCTCCTGTGGGTTTGAAGACGTCCTGCACAAACCCACCGCAAAAAACAACAACAACAACTGAACCAAGCTACACTTCTTGAAACAAATTGTGAAGATAAGCATTACGAAGCCAGACATGGCAACACGTGGTAAATGACGTCATCTCCAGAGGTGCTTTGCAAACAGTAAGGGGCAAGTAGCAGCACGCGCTGGTGATGCGAGACCGCAGATAAGAGCTCTTAGTGAGACCGCCAATCTACAGCTTCATATCCAAAAAGGCCAGAGAAGGGATTAGCAGCCAGGCGTACAGCAGTCGGTGTGAGCCAGCAGCACATGACTTTGCACCGTTTTTCCCAAACCGGCACCTCGGACAGAAAAGCCCTGCCTACTGAAACGAGGCGTGGCAACTTTGGGCGACCTACTGCCAATCGAAAGTTTATCTTTTAAATGAGGTGAATCCTCTTTTCTTTCCTTTTAGGTCATGTGATTCCTCACATGCTAAGCCCAGTTTGGGTACAGATGATAGGTCTGACCCCGTTAACATGTGACATTATGCAACACGCAACAACACAGAACCCACGGCCAATATCCCCACATGAGTTATGGGCAGCAACCAAGCCGGGTGCGCGTCCCTCAACTGGCAAACTGTTGCTTTCCAGTTATGTTAATGGGGGTGTAATCAAATAATTAAACATAGGTTTACACTTGCAACCCAAATATTCTGAATTTAAATAGGTATCAGGCAGGTTGAGAGCGGCCTGATGTCTCTGACGCCCGCTGCTCAGCTTGGGGTTGTGTAATTGGGATCCTGGAAGGCGCGGTTTACACACAAAATCTCACTGGCGGGAATACCAGATTGTGTCCTGTCCACGGTCATGCTCCAATCAGAGGGTTGGCGGTTCAGTCCCAGGCCCGGCTAACCCGCATGTCAATGTGTCCTTGGGCAAGACACTTCACCCCAACATTGCTCCTGATGGGCAGGTGTCACTGTGTATGGTAGCTCCTGTCATCAGTGTATGAATGGGTGAATGATGTCATGTTGTGTTAAAGCGCTTTGAGTGGTCAGAAGACTAGAAAGGGACCATACAAGTACAGTCCATTTACCATGTAACACCACAGGGCTGGCCGGGACTTTTTGTTCCAGCAAGCCGCCAGAGATTATTATTGTATTACTGAAATAGCACAATTCCCAGAGGACTGTGTTTGGTAGAGCAAAGAGAACTCAGACTGCCCAACAGGTCCAGATATGTGTCTGCTGGCCCCTAAGCCGTGTAGTGTGAACTAGCTGGTTCGCTTTCCATGACGCTGGACTTCATGGACCAGCAGAGTGTAAAAAAGGAAGTGCGTGTTTACGGCCATGGCTCACTGATAGGAATCTCAATAAAAATACGGAAATGAAGGAACACAAAGCTCTGCTTCTCGACAGCACCGCATTCAAAGTTTGTGTCGACACGTCTGATTCTCATCGACAGGATATCCTTGATTGCTTTTTGGCCCGTTCCTCTCAGTTGGATTCTTGCTCACAGCTGATCTCTAAATGGGTCGTATATTTCAAATAGCATCATGTAAAAAATGCACCACAGTTGTTCATGGTACAACACCGTGGTAAAAAAAGCCATTCTCTATTCCACTCGCATTGAAATGGGAGGAAAACCAAACGACAATCAATTTTGTGGCAATGCAAAAGGCACATGTCCGCAGAAACAGTGTTTTAAGTATTTTATTGTGAAGCAGATATTTTGTCTTTATATAAAACATAAGGCATCGTTATCCGCACAGGCACGCAAACCATCACAACCGTGCGCAGACTGCAGACAATATGGATGCATGCTCAAAGAAGAAAAGTGAGCGTGTTTACGGACGTATGCGAGGAATGCGGAGCTAGAAAGACTCGAGTCTGACCGGCAAACAAAAGCTTGAACCCAGACATCACATCCAGGCAAGTGTAAACGAATGCCGTTTCATCCCAGGCAGGAGACATTCCTGGACCCTGGGAGACACGGCTGGGTATATAGACTGGACGAGCTGCCTTTGATGAGAGCGAAATTAAATGTCTGTAAAGTCCCTCACGTGGACTTCTAGTAGAACAGCGCGTTGAGACTTCCCCCTCGGGCGGGCCGTGTTGAATGTCTAGGTTTCCCTGCACCGTGTGGAATGTGGGAAATAAGGGCCTTGTACCACGCTGCAAGGTTAATCATCACCCTGGTGTGTGGAACACACTGCAGACCAAATTGTTTGGGCATGATGGCCCTGAGAAACACAATGGGAAGGAAGTTGGAATCTGCCAAAAAACAACGTCACAATGTCCAACAGAATAGCATGTTTGGGACCACTGGTGGGAATGTAAGAAAAATACATTTTACATCTTAATGGCTATTATGTTGCTTGTTTCTAGGGTATGTGGTCTTTTGTGGAAGTACAGGGGCGACTATTCACATTACTATCAACTGACCTATCCTGAGAACCGCCCCCTTTTGAGTCTGTCCTCCAATAACAGTTGACCAAGCAGAGTACACAGCACAATCTCCCCTTTCTTATTCTATTTCGTTGCGTTGACAAAGACATCAACACTTTTGAACATGGTTAAGAGATTTGCCCTGAGGAACTTTTCAAGGCGGGACTCAATAGCCTGATCCTGTGGTAATGTTAACAGGCATATTTGAATGCCTGATGACTAACATATATGTATCCAGTGTTTCCCACATTATTCGTATTCGTTCAGCTGCATTTCCTTTCCGGTCAGCCCGCCACACATTCACGTTGGATCCGTTTGAAACACTGGTATCCCTATGCTTGCTGACGGTAACACACGGTAACTTTTTGTTATTATTATTAATCTGTGCAAACAATGTTTATGGTCCCAACAGAAAAAGTCTGAGTCCTTGTCGGCTTTTTGAAGCTACGCAGCGGGGGTTTGTCCAGCAGACCTCACCTAGCAACATCACCTAAAGTGGGCGGGACTTAGAGAAGGTCAACTGCAAGGTGGCCCAACCAAAGTGTGAAGAGCACGTACAGTAATATCTTCACTCACTCCTTTTCCCGACAAAAGATTTAAAACTTCTGGATAAACTGAAATACTGAAAAAAGAGGAAGAACCGTAATGACAAATCCGTGCTGAGTTTGTGTTATTGCTGACTAAGACGCCCATCTGGTCTCAACACAGACCGGCAAGCCAAATGACAGATGGTTGTTTAGTTTAGGGGGGGCATCCGAGGCTACAACATCCCATGCCATTGGCCCACAGCACTGTCCCGAATGAATGCTTTGAATATTCATCACAAGAAATCAGATCACTTGAACGGCAAAATTAATCACTTGCTAGTGCTCACGTGCTAGTGAATGGATGAGGAGTATAGTGCAGTTGTAAGAGTAATGCGCTCAAAGGGTAGCAACGGCAGATTGTAATAAGTAATTCTTTTCAGAGTGGCACTGGATCCCAGTAACAAATCTGAAGTTTTTTTCCTCTATGATATTTAACCGACTTACAAGTTCCTCACATATCAGTTGAATACTCAAAAACTGTGTGTGCTTGTGGTGTGATCAGTGGTCCGACAACATCCGCAAACTAACCCACAACAGTCATTACATTTTTGACTCTGATGTTGCTAAAGCTTGATATGGTGCACAGAAGAAGTATGTGACCAATGGAGCCCTGCTCACTTCAAACCAGTGACAGGACACTCATATCATGTTTTTCCACTTCACTGTGAACGTACCTGCTGGTTCGCCTTGTGCTGGGATGAAGTCCCCGGGACGTTGAGCGAGTGACTCCTGGTGACAGCGGCTCCCGTTGACGCTCTCCTGAGCTGTGAGCGACCCGTTGGTGGCGCTTTGACCTCTTCAGGAGGGCTGCTGCCGCCGCCGCCGCTGCTGTTCCCTTCCGTCTCCAGCACCGCATCCCAAGGATCCCCCGCCACCCCCGGTACCGACGGCGCGGCGGGCCCAGAAGCCGGCGGCGCCTCCTCGTTCTCAGCTTTGTGCTTTGTGAGCGGGTCCAGGTCCAGCCAGTCGAAGCGGCCGACGGTCGAGGATTCCGCCACAGCCGGCGGCTGGGGAGGTGGGTTGGGCGCCAGGGAAGACTGGCCCGCCTGAGAGGAGTCCACGTCGGTGCCGCCCGGTTTGCCATTCTTCAAGTATTCCGAGGTGCTGGCAATCTTGTCGAACAGCTTGGCCATCTCCGGGTCCACTGCTGGCTGCGGGAACGCCATGGCAGCAGCGGGCTGGATGGGAGAGAAGGTCATGAAGGACGACTGCGTTCCCGTCAGCGCCATGTAGGCCGGCATGGCCGGAGCGAAGCCGTTCAGAAACGCGCCTGGCTTGGGGAACGGAGCGGAGGGGAACGGCGAAGGCTGATGGCTGGGAGTGGACAGGCTGGAGTTAGCCGGGGTGGACAGAACAGGTGTCCACTGGCCGCTGTGGAAAGGAGAGGAGCTACCGGGGTGGCCCCCGGGGTAGGAGGCGCTGAGGTTGAACCCCAGCAGGGACGACGGGCGCGACACTTTGCTGTTGACCCCAAAGTTCTCATCCAGTAGGAGCTTTTCAAGTTCCTCATTGGTCAGCTTGTCGACATCGATATCCCTGAACTTGACCTGCTCCGCCTGCTTCCGGGTCTCCGGGAAGACGATGAGGTCCTTCTCGGGTCTATTGGTAGCGGGCAGAGGCTGAGGAGCAGAACTGGTGGATTTAGAAAGCGTCGACGAAGATAGTGAGGCGGCGGAGGAAGGGACGGGCGCTGAAGCTGAAAGAGTGGGTCTCTTTCCCTTTTGCAACTTTGCTAAAGCCTCTTCCTCCATGCGGAGGGCTTCCTCTTTACCCACAACCCCCTTTGGCTGGGGGACAACCACCTTGAACCCATTACCACTTGATATCTGGGCCATTGTGTCAACTAGAGGGGGCCATGAGTGTGACAGCAAGTCAGTGTGGTTTAAAGGGTTGCGACGCAGATCTTTTAGGCACCTGAAAAGGGAAAAACATTTGGATTAATCAAACTGATTCAAAGCAGTCGGTACATAGTTTAAAAAGACTTGACTAGTCCTAAACCTTTTTTAATTTGCTGGATAAACAGTCTGTATGTAATAATGCTTATTGTGTGCGGTTGCATGTCAGCTTCAATCGGTACTTCTTCATCTCAGGGCATCTTCTCTTCGGCCTGTTGCTGTCACCCGCCTGCCGGCGATTATTGTATGTCGATTGTCACATGTTCACAGCTTGTTTTGGAGTCAACATTCAGGTCATGTCACCAGAATGCTCGTGACATGTGGATGGATCGGCCCGCTCACAGCGAGCTCTGACCTATTAGCGTTCACCGGGACATTGTTTAACCGAGCAGCCGGGCGGACCGCGCACACACACACACAAAAAAAAAAAAGACTTAAACAATAGTGGCAAGTGATTTATAACAAGAAGCTGACATATGACTCACCCCACTTGTATTGTACATCTGTGTGCTTCTGTTCAGCAACTGGTCTGCTAGTTATTTCATCCCATCACAACTTTTCATAATCAACCACCCCAGACTTGATACCACACAACGGCAACTCCCATTCCTGATGATACAAACTATTTATGGTTGGGCAGGAGTGTCCCCGCCTACGAGCAGAGAACAACGTCGCTCCAGAGTGTATCTCGCCGTGCTAAAGTGACACAGCGCCTTCTCAAAGACACCATTCATTGACCGATCAAAGCCCCAGGGTTGAGTGAGTTCCTTCCCTCCCCAGGCGTCACCGGCCTCTCCTGAGCTCCCCCCTCCCATTGTGGTGGAGGGGGCTGGCTGTGCCCCGGGGCTCGCCTAGCACTATTGTGCAGCTGAAGGAATTTGGCATTCTAATCAGCCCAACGGGGGTCTCTCTCTCTCTCTCCCTCCCTCCATCTCCCTCTGTTAGCATTATGTTAGCACCACAGCCCAAGATTGTGTGATCAGCTGTGCTAACACCAGCGGGCAGCGACAATGTGGCTGCATTCATTGGGCATTTCACTTGGGGAGCTTGGTGCCAACTTTGGCAAAGAACACAGCTTTGGGACACTAAATGCGTTAAAAGGTCACAATGTCTTAATTATGTGCAGAAATCCATCATGCTCTGACCAAAAGGTTTTATCTGTGTATTGTAGATTTTGCTCACAGTTTGAATAAATCACACGTCAGATTGAAGCGTCCCAGTTAAGGTCACTGTTCCATAGCTAAAAGGCCTGAGAGACCCTTGACTGCCAAGCGTCAGGGTAAGAAACCGAGCGAGACAACAAACAGTAGCTACTTCCTGGTTCTGTATGTAAACAGAGTCATCTAAGAAACCGCATAATCCAATACACACACAGTAGCTCAAACTGAAGGAAGACCACTCTATCGAAAGAGTCAATTCGTACTAAAATGCCCCAAAGCACGACGCAAAGGATAATGGATCAAGATAGTTGTACTCTTAAAGTCCATAAAAGGCATTAGGAGACATACAGAAAAGGAAAGCTCCACTTATGGAGAAAAGCCAACGGCGGCCAAGACAAAATACTCTTTGCACTGAAGCATGGTGGAGGATGGCGTTGCTCGGGTCCTGAAAGGGCTTAATTCAATTTGACATCACTACGGTTTAAGAATTTAGAGGACAGCGGCTCGCGGAGCCGTGAGACTCACGTGAGAAATGCTTCGTGAAAAGATTTAAGGACACGGTGGTCTCAATAACAATTTGTTACGGATGAGCCTGGAGATTTCCTTGATAGTTTGAAAATGTTTTTTAACCCCTTGACATGCAGTTTAACGTTCCCTTGAGGTAGTTTTAGAATTGGAAAAGCATCTTTATTGTGCCATCCGGTTATTTTTAAACGGCAACTGCATATAATCACATGTAAATAATGTCTACGTATTTTAGAACAATTCAAAAAATATTTTGGGAGAGACTCATATCAAGCATCTTCTAAGACTCTTGGATTTCCACTTAGATTTAGAGATTGAAGAATGGCATTTCAATAATTTCTGTTGAAACAACAGATATGAGAGCCCATATGAGACCGACTTGTTCCGTGTTCATATGTGCAGCTCACCCTAGTTTTTATAGACTTAAACGATTTGTGAATATCATGGGACCATGCAAAAGGTGCAGATGTTCGTGTTACACTGCACAGCCGATCAAAGTACAGCAAGGCCCTTTAAAAAAGGAAAATAAGTCACCAGGTCAAGTTTATAGATGTGTCAGATGTGCTCTGCACTGATAGAAGTGCCAAAGTTAACGGTCCATTAAACCATTTAATAAACGCAGAGCCTACTAAAAGGCTAAAGAATTTTTTTTTTTAAATGGCAGGCCCACTGATCCCAAATCATGCTCACCTGGACAGCGGTGGTATGCGTGTACATTAAACATCTGTACAAACCGGCTAGCTAGCGAGCTAACCTGTCAGCAGATGCTCACGTGACTCCAAAATGACATCGATAACTTATTGACAAACGTCAATAAGCCGCCCCCTCCCCCCCCCAAACACACACACACACACACACACACACACACACACACACACACTTTGTTAGATATCTTAAAATATCACCCAGCTAGTTATTTGCAGCAGAGAAACAGTGACTCGTGAGAAAGTAACGTTAATCAAGCTAAGCTAAAGTTAGCCACCACTTCGATGAGTTTGATGGCCGTTGGACTTTCTTTGGCTTACTTGGATGCTAAGTTAGCCGTTAACCAAACCCCTACGCGAAAACAGGCAAACACGACGAGAAAAGAAAGAAACGCGGAAAAAAACCTGAACGTGAACATGACAACACGGAAACAAGTTACACGACTGTTCCGCACTGATGATTTAATAAGTTAAAAGTACCCAGGCAACTGTTTCTGCGCCGCGGACTTCCCACAAGGAAGACGCCGGAGACGGCCGGATACCACGGAGCCACAACCACCGACTTTGGGCAACTACAGACTAAAACTTTAACACGCAGACATTTTCTGTAAATTACTGTCTATTTGTTACCTTTTAGCGGTGCGGTGTTTGGAGCCATTTTTCCTGCAGCTGCATTTTTTCCATCCACTTGCACCGAAGAGACGTCAGTTCCTGTTGAGGTGGTTGGATGAAGCTTCGGTTTCGAAGCTTCGGCTTCGGACCGCAGGAGCAGATTAAACGAGGAAGCAGCGCCACCGTGAGGACGGACGGGATCAGTGTCGAGACAGCGCTGCTCCTATGCATTCAGAGAGGTCGGTGCAAAGGGAGAGTGCAGAATGAGTTCAGGGTCTTTAAGTACTCAGATGTGTTGCTTTAATACGATATTTATGAAAAAGTCTTGCATTGAAATTGATCATTAAATGCATATTTCCATCACGACAAAATCATCTTTAAGACTTCTAACACTTTAAAAACACAATGTTTTATTGTTCCCCTAATTGTTTTAACGCAAAATATGATTACATCAAACTCCAACTTGCCGCTCGTGAACGCCACGTTCAGTTCGGCTCAACGCACCTTAATCCACAGGCTGACGTTGTTACACTCTTTGACTGACAGGTCCAGCGGCCAATCAGCTCTCAACGCGACGCTTCCACCGAGAAAGGGTACGTTTTTTCTGCCCAACCAGGAGCGCCGTGGGCGGGTCGTTGCCATGGTGATCACGACCTTTGTCCCACCCCCTGCTCCTTCTGTCTCCGTATGTTATGGCCTCAGGAGGCTTGTACCGGTGGCGGATGACAGCTGTAAACAAGCTGCGGTGAAACTCAGGCACTTTGAGGCGAACCGAGCGGGAAGAGCGCGGTGACGATTAAAAGGCGAAGAGCTCAAAGTAAGTAAGATTAATTCTCGCAATTTACCACGGACGTATTGCTTGTTTTGCCCCTTTTTCCACAGCTATGGGACAATGAATTAACTAGCCACCGTCTGCACTTAGTGACACTGAGCGTGCGTGCTGGTTCTGACGTGTTAGTTCACAACTGTCCGTCAAAGACGTGGGAGAAGAATAAGCTTTAAAGTGAGCGCGTGGTGTCATTATCCACTAAACACGTGCGTTGCATGTGGCAGAGAGTTTTGGGATTACAAATAACTTGCATAACACCCATATTGTCTCCAGGTGAAGCGCTTTGCACTCCTTTTTGCAGATATTTCAAACACAAAGCGCTAATACATCGGAAAAGTTAGATTAAAAAAATCTAAAAACACCAGAGAGATGTGTACCATATTTTATATAAAATTTCCTCAATGAACTTGTATTTGTCTTCATGTATGTACCTAGAAAGATGGTGGTGCGTAGGGCCATGGCCCCCTGCGGGCTGGTTCTGTTGAGTTTGTGGCTGTGTATCCAGTCAGTGCCGATCAGTATGGACAAGACCAAAGAAGAGCCTTTGAAGGAGGAGCTGGAGCCACCGCAGAGTGCTGTGAGTCTCTCTCACACTGAAAGCTGCATCTTACAGCTAATTACACCAAGTGCCTCTCAGGCCGGAATTGTTTGGGTTCACGGTGTCTCAGCAAGGGGTGTTTCACGTGGAGAGTCTGGGGGAAAGGTTGTAAAAATACATTATTGTTGTTTCGTTCAAAACAAACACAAGCAATACCATATAAATTAGTCGCCATTCTCATTAGGATAGAAATTTCAATAGTGGCCCGAGTCATGTTTGAAATGTTAAACTGAATATTTTAGTCCTCTGTCAACAAACCCAGATGTGTGCTTTTGGCCTTTGCTTCAGGAGACGGGCCTGCACTACGACCGCTACCTCAGGGAAGTCATTGAATTTCTCGAGAAAGACCCCCACTTCAAGGAAAAGCTCAAAAATGCCAACATGGACGACATCAAGGTGCGTCGGCCACTAATCTTCTGCAACGGTCTTCGTTGGCACGCACACACTTTATTGATCTGTGGCGTGTGGATGTTTCTGACCGCAGCAGGGCAAACTTTCCAAAGAGCTGGACTTTGTCCACCACAATTTTCGGACCAAGCTGGACGAGCTGAAGCGGGAGGAGATGGGCAGGCTACGGATGCTCATCAGGGCCAAGCAAGACATCCAGGGGGGGAATGGTAAGCATCCGCCACGTCTTGCTGATGTGATGTGTTGCTTACGAAACTTGTGCTTTTTAAAAAACTTGCACAAGACGTTTTGTAATACTGCAGTCAGATAGAGGAAAGAGCTCTGAAACACAGGAACATGATGTAATACAGAAGTTAACAGTTACTAAAACTGGATGTTAAAATAACACGACGTGTACTTAAAGACCAGAAGTGGAAGTCAAAGTCACATCACACTACTTTAAAAGAGAGTTGGACAGAACGTGCAGAAACGGCGTTGAGTCCAAACATGAAAATCCCTCGCCATCACACTTAGAATTACATTTATTTACTCTTACTTTACCATTTCCCAGTGTAAATGTGAGCTGAAACAAAAGTAAACAGAGCCACTGTTTGCTTAACTGAGTGTCAGTTATATGCTCAGTGCTGTGCTGCTAACTACTGGAGCACAAAATGTCTCAGATAAGCTCATGGCAAAGAATAATCCACCCCAATTTGAATGACACAATCTCTGTCTTGTTTTGTGAATGCAAAATAAGTAAAAGATCAGTTTCACATATTAACTTCCTCCAGCTGTGGCCGTTAGACAGTGAAATGTGGAGGTCTCATTATTCCCTTCCTTGCAGGCCGGACAGTGGACCACCAGGCCCTGCTCAAGCAGTTTGACCATCTCAACCACCTGAATCCACACACGTTCGAGGTGGAGGATCTGGAACGCCTCATCCAGTCGGTAAAAGGCAGCGATGAGCTCACTGAATAGACAAAAGTATTTTTACTGCTGTAGTCCGGTCCATAAACCCTTCAGCAGATGCTGGATAAAAAAATAAAATAAACATATTGAGCAACATATTGATCCAACAGATCTGCGTCAGGCATTATCAAATCCAGGAAGAACTGCTGTTGACTCAGAACATCCCCACTGCTCCATCAGAACAAATACATTAAACTTGGAGCACAGACACCCCGCAGAGACACATGGCCGACCCACACACACTCTGTGTATCTTGGATACAGGTTTCCACATTTTGTTTACTATTTTTCCAGTTTTTGCTTCACCAGGGATGCAGAACAAAAAACTACTTGCAAGTTATTTTGTCCCAAAACTCAGTCCGATTCAGTTTAGACAACTTGTGGTACGGTCCGGGTGCACATTTCCACCTCATCGCCACTTGTTCTCCAATTGTAGGCGACCAACGACCTGGAGAACTACGACAAGAGCCGCCACGACGAGTTCAAGAAGTACGAGATGCTGAAGGCGCACGAGAGGAAGGAGCGGCTGAACGCCATGAGTGAGGAGGAGCGCAGGGAGGAGGAGCAGCGCTACGAGGAGATGAGAAAGAAGCACGCCGAGCATCCCAAAGTCAACCACCCTGTAAGACCTGGAAGGAATCCATTAACACAAATAGAGATTACCTCATTCCCAGAAGTAGGAGTAAGAAGAACTAAGAAGTTATTTGTTGACGGGAAAAATAATGGTGCAAATAAAAGGTTTTATTTAAATGGCAACGGGAGGCTTGTTAAAACAGAATAGAGTCGGAGCCCTATAGGAGGTTTGTGCTTCAGGGTAAACTGACATCTGCTGTTTTTGTGTGCAGGGCAGTGAAGACCAGCTGAAGGAGGTGTGGCAGGAGTCAGACGGGTTGGACCCAGACAACTTTGATCCCAAGACCTTCTTCAAAATACATGGTAACCGTGGAAAAAAACAAAAAAACAATCTTCCCTCATTAAAGAAGTGATCTCCCCGGCTGAATGCGTTGAATACAATGAGCACCGTAACACACTGCTGATAATAATCCGTGACGTGAAATCCGTTGATGTGATCACCGTGCTCATTCCAGTCACTGGTTCTTTGTTGCAGACAGCAACGGAGACGGCTTCCTGGATGAGAGTGAGCTTGAAGCTCTTTTCACTAAAGAGGTGTTTATGTTAACGTATTCAGGTCTGACTTTGACGATAGTGTGAGATTTAAGACTGTGTGAAATTGAAATGGAAAAGCCCCCTGGGGTTCAAATGTGCTTTTGCCTTGTATTTGAAGCTGGAGAAGGTGTACACCCCGGGCAACGAAGAAGACGACATGTTTGAGATGGAGGAAGAGAGGCTGCGCATGAGAGAGCACGTCATGAATGAGGTGAGTCACCACGACAACCGAGCGGAGCCCTCTGTTGTGTGTTGTTGACACAGTGATGGTCAGCTGTCATCAGGCCCCACAGACGGTGCAACCTCCCTCGAGTGCAGTCAGCGAAAACATGGACTTTTACTCCAGGAAAAATATTCCAAGTGCATTCCATGCATCCATTTCTCCAGTGCAAAAACTACAATATCCAAAAACAGAGTGTGTCCGATATCTCTTGAACTGCAGTTGATGGAGAAATTGATCCTAATGTGACAAATTCTACTCAATGAATCTCAAAGTACATTTATGGAAACATGCGTTGATTATTATTTGTTACTCAGGTGGACACGGACAAAGACCGACTTGTGTCTCTGAGCGAGTTCATAGCTGCCACTCAGAAGGAGGAGTTCTTGGAAAAAGACGAGTGGGAAGTAAGTGAAACATTTAACAGAATCATCGGATGGATTCGGACGCAAATGTGTCTCTTTACTCAAGGGCTGAGTCACAATCGGTTCCTTTGTTTAAATAAACGTAGTATCAGAGCTACTTAGAACTTGATTACTTAAAAGTCAAAACAAATTTATTCCACCATGTCACACAATAATTTGGCTTTTTAAATCCATCCTATTATTTACTGAATTCCTCACTTCCCTGCACAGACATTGGATCAAAAACCCATCTACACGGAGGAGGAGATGAGGGAGTATGAGCAGCATCTGGTCAACGAGGAGAACGACATCAACAAGAAGTCTGAGGAGCTGTACAAGCAGAGGGAGGAGCTGGAGAGGAAACAGAAAGAACTGAATAATCAGAAGATCGGGCTGCAGCAGGTGAACTAAAACAAACAATTATTGGCAGGATTACTTCCTTCACACGGTAACCTAAAGCTCAAATGATGAGGAATAATTGAAGGTGTGCAGGATTTGTCGTCATGAGAACGGCAGCCAGATGTTATTGTGCTGTGCGAATTGTGTGCTCGTAGCGAACAAGAGATTCACTTTGTATCTGATATAAAAGGCACGTCAAACTGAGGCCCAATGCGCACGCTTGTGATCTCACCAATGATATTTTGTGACGCTCTAACTGTTTTTTTTAATTCTTTAATCTTGTTCCCTCTCCTCAGGCGGTGGAAGAAATCGAAAGGATGAAATCCTCGGTCAAAGGTACGTGTCCCATTGCCACGATTGTTGCGTGACGCCTACTTAACCAAAGCGAGTCGGTGCGGAACGTGCACAGTGACACAGGAGAAGGAGAGCTTCCCATGTGGCTGCAGCTCATCCACAGTGACTCTCTGTTGCAGAGCCGGCCGCCTCCGTGGCCACAGGTGAAGGTGTACCTGTGGTACCGGTCGTACCAGGAGACGCTCGCCCCCCGCCCCCGCTGGGTCACCAGCAGAGGGACGTACCGGTGCCGGGACACTCTTAGCGGACCTTCTGAAGTGAATGCCAGTGAGCGTGTGCGCGTCTTTCTGCCTTGTGATGATTCCAATTGTTTGTTTGTTTGTTTGTTTGTTTCCAGGATTTTCACAACACCAGTCGACAAAGAATATGCCGAAATATTAGGAGCACATGAGAAAATGTGATTTCAGGCTTTAGTGCCCATTACGCGCAATGCGGGAAGCGTAAATCAGAAATGTGGAGCCGGTCCAGTGTTCCTCGTGAACATTCAACCCTTTTGTTTTTGTCTTTTTGGTCCTTTCATCGCAGCGAGGACTTTCTTCTCCATGGGGAAGAGTTGTGGGGTCAAACCGGAGAGGTCGGGGGGGGCGGGGCGTTGTCTGAAGAAGTGAATGTTTTGTTAAGCGCACATTGTAGTTTAGTATCACTGATCTGGTCAGGTAGAGGAAATACTGTAAAAGATATCTATTTATTATTAAACTTAGCTGAATATTTCATTCCGATTTACTTTGCGTAGTTAGCTAAATAAAATGTATTTTTCTGATAACTCGCCTTTCAGCATGTTAATTTTACATTACATGTGTAATTTTACATATGTACACAAGTTGGTTTAAAACATGTCAATCAATCTTGGTTGATTTGCTTCTTTCATGTATCTCAACTGGTGTAATAAGCCGTTAGGACTCCTGAACCACACATCCTTATTTCATTATTTTAAGTTTATACTACTTCAATAACAAGCATATATCGTGATGACCAAATGATTGAATAACACAGATAAAGTTCAATAATATATTTCAATCTTTTAATGTATTATAATTGTGATGATGTTAGTGACGATTGTATGAAATCCAAAGTTAATGTATGTGCGCAGAGCGTATGTGTGTATGTTTTTGTTTTTTTTAATCATCAAATCAATCATTTATTCTCCAACCCGTAAAATGAAACGGTCAAGATGTGAAACTTAATTATATATAAATTAAGCAGATCAGAGATAGTTAAGCTTTATATTATGTTTCCTTTTCACAGAGCAGTTTAATTGTGCGGAATCATGAAACTCTTGTACAAGGTTTGAATGTGGACAATAAAATGAATGAGCTTGCAGGTCTGAGGTTTGTTTCTCTCCTTTAAGTCTCACACACACACACCAATTATCAAAAAACACTGAGATATGGATACACGTAAAGAGGATACAAATAAACATCCCAGACGTGTAATACAAAGTGGTGCATGAATGACGGGATTGGAGAACATTCACTTTGCTCCATAGGAGGCCTTGAAGCGCTCCTGGAGGTAGCCGCCTCCCGTCACTGGGGGGTATTTGTTGGAGCCGTCGCAGCAGGTGATCACAGCATCATCATCCGGCTGTACGAAGAAGGCCAGAGACTGACGTGTGCTGGAGTCTCCGGCTGGAGGCAGCATAACTCGGTGGACCTGAGGGGAGCGGACAGACGACCGGTTACTCCAATCCTTCTTTTTTATAACAGTTTTGACTTCAAACATCTTGTTCACAGTTTTTTTTCATGACACACCAATTCTCAAAACAATCCATCCGTGCCTTTTTATTCGGATGTGATAAACCTGTGCAAACGAGAATGGCGTCCTCTCTCCGACTCACCACGGAGACAAAGTGATCGCCGGTCCAGCGCTGCATCAGGTCGGCGACGTTGACGAGCACCGCTCCGGGGAAGGAAGGAACGTCGATGAATTCACCTGAACGCCTCCGCACCTGAAGGTCAACCAAACAATTCTCATACGGTACCAAAGCAAATGTCCCGATGGGCAATGGTGGAGTTAAACATCAGCAGTGTTACCTGCAGACCCCCAGAGCTGCTAAACAACAGGGTGATGCTGCCGTAGTCCGAATGCTCCCCACATCGCAACTGACCCTCCTCCACCTTGTCGTGGTCCACTGACGGGTAGTACAGAGACCGCAGTGTTGTGCTGTTCCCTTCAGCTGCAGGAGGCACAACAACACGGGTTAGTCACTACCACAACCGAGTGTGTCGAATGCAGAGTGCCATCGGGGGGTCGATGCGCGTACCTCCTATCAAGCGGTGCGCGCTCAGGAACACCTCCGGGTCCAGACCCAGGCTGAGGGCCATCACCCTCAGCACCCGCACACTCAGCTGGTTGCAGCGCTGGAAGAAAGACGTCTGGATCTCCTGGAAGCCTTCTCCAGCACCCGATGGCCATTTCTACATAAGGAGGGCGGGCTGGTTATTGACGGCTGACACTGACATTGAATTGATATAAAGAATAATTCTCGGGAGCAGATAAATGGAATAAAGTGAACGATTTAAAAAACAACCTCTGCTCTCGGGTGAAGACGTAGTGGTGAGACCATGATAAAGGACAATAACGGCAGTACAGTTAATCAATCAGGCAGCAAGTACAACCCTACTTCCACTGGTTTTAGAGTAACTTATACTTTGACCCCCAGAAGGGGGATCAATCTCTGTCAAACTTTAACGACGAGTCATTACAATGTCAGGACGGGTCGAAGTGACGTTGAAAGACTCCTTCAGGTCCCCTGGAAGACGAGGATTCAACCTTAGACACAAACAAGCCGTTTACTCCATTTTACAAAAGGCTAAAGTGTGCAGTGTGCAAACTGTTCTCGGGTCCCGACCTCTCGACCTCCAGGCGCACCCAGCCGTGGTTGGGATTGTTGGCAAAGCTTTTCCTGCTGAAGGGTTCCTTCTCTTCATCTGGCTGCAGGAAGAACGTCTTGTATACGTCCATTACACGATCCACCTGTCAGAGCAAGCCAGCAGAAAATACAAAGATACTTTGCCTGATTTTTACTGGGCGTCCTGGATCAGCTGGAAAATGCTTCACCACAAATCTGAAAACACATACGAAGGACTAACGAGTACAACCCTGAAAGCAGCACTCAAATTGTACTACTATTTTATGATCATAGTACACAGATCATGCCACAAACTAAACTGAGGTCCCGTTAATTTGCCTTTTTCTCACCTCCTCCTGAGTGATCCCGGTGTTCTCCAGAAACACGAAACCAACTTTGGTGAACGCGGATTCCAGCTGTTCGCGCAGGTGGTGCATCTGTCCGTCGGCGACGTCTCGCTCGCGCAGGCTGCACGCGGCAAAGTCAACCACCGGGATACTCATTCTTCTTTATGGATAACAATAACTAAACGTTTGTCCAAATGCAACGACACACGCAAGCTGAAAACGTGTTCTGCTGTCACGTGACTCTTTCCAGCCAATGGGGAAAAGAGCGTGCGAAATTACGCAAAAAGTTTGTTTCTCGTCACCTTTGGAGCCAGCGCGCGCATGTGTGTGTGTGTGAGGCTACAGTGAACTGCCTTCAAAATAAGAGCCCGGTTCCAGTGAACGTGATCAGACATTTTCCATGCATTTGATAACATTCAATAAATCGGTGTCCTTTACAGAAGTGAAGTAAATGTTGGAGTGAAAGAACAAATGCATACAAAGTGATCCTGTGTTTGGGGATGTCACTTTAAAAATCTGTGAATGAATTACATCTTGATAAGTTGCAGTGAGCTGCAGAACTACTTTTCTTGAGATAAGATATCTATGACCGACCCCGTCTTCCAGCTCTCTATCATTTGAGTTTGTCTTTTGGAAAAGCTGAACACATACAAGGGTCGGCTGGTTGGAGCATTAGTGCTGGTTATGAAAGTTATGGAATCAACATGACGTCATACAGCTGCCTAATTGCATATTCAGTTAAGTGACCTCAGCCTTATTTTCTAAACATGTGACATTTTAGTCGATTGAGTTATGTAATAGCAAAGCAAAGCCAACTGAGGCACTGTCCATTGCACATGTGGATATAAGAGATAAGACAATGTGTCTAAGTGAGTATTGATAGGAATCCAAAAGCACCTGCTGTACTCTGGCTGGAGAGACTGTGCAGGCGCCACAGAGCTGCTTTTGAGTTGGTGGAAAGCTCGGAGAAGAAGATGTTCGACTGGGACGAGGAGTGGAACATCTCCTTTGCAGGCTGCGGCTTCAGAAGTGTTTACTACCTGGGCGCTCTGAGCTGTATGCTAGAGCGGGTCCCTCGGCTGGTTCACGGAGCCTCGAAGATCTGTGGAGCTTCATCTGGTTGTCTCGTGGCTGCAGCCCTGACTGTTGGGATTCCCATCGGTGAGTTAACATTGCCCACACAAAAGTGTTTGTTCGTTATGCATTTATTGTCTTGTGGTGAACAGCTTTTGCTTTGAGGTCACAGTTTATACCATGTAATATACGTGTATATGTTTACTACGCGTTGTTGTTTTTGGCCATTGAGAAATGTCAGGGACATGTTATCTCAGAGCCAGTGCCGTTGTTTATGTTGTAGTAATGTCACACTTAGAGTTCATGCGATGCAGTGTGAGCAAACTCCAGAGGTCACATGGAGTTCAAAGCGAATGGAGGCCCAGCGAGGAAAAACACGCGTCACTGACTCTCTGTCCTCTCATGCACTGATGTTGCGGAATATTAATCGACTTTTTTTGTGTCATTAAAGGTTTTGTTTTTGCAACCTCGGTTGCACTAAAAGACGCTTGTCAGAATTTGATAACCAATAGTTTTGGTTATCGCATAAAAGGGATGAAATCATAACGGTGATAAAATGTTGTTTCCGGATTTTCCTCCATCTTCCTCCTCAGAGCAGTTCAGCGCTGATGTTTTGACTGTGGCCAAAGAGGCCAGGAGACACACTCTGGGGGTTTTCCACCCGACCTTCAGTCTGCAGCGGACAGTCCGCTCCCTGCTGGAGAAGCTTCCTGCAGACGCCCACCTGCGGGCCTCTGGGAAGTTGTGCGTGTCCCTCACCAGGCTGCCCGACTGGAAGAACGTGCTGGTGTCACAGTTTGAAAGCAGAGAGGATCTCATTCAGGTAGAAGAGAGGAACCAAAATGTTTACCCACCATGGACTCCACACACGGTGGCGATATCTCATGTTTGGTTCTGGATCTACCTATCGTACCTTTGCAGGTGTTGATATGCAGCTGCTTTTTCCCCGTTTACTGTGGTTTCATCCCACCTTCCTACCGCGGGGTGGTGAGTAGATACATCGTATTCTTCAAAGCCCCTGTAATCAGACTCTCAAGACCATCGAGGCATTTCTTTGCATCCAGGACACGTCACATGCAATGCCTGAGGGGCAATTCCTTTCCATACAGACCTCTTGTGTAAGCAGAATCTTTCTTTCCCTGCAGCACTACATCGACGGAGCCCTCAGCAACAACATGCCTCTGTTCGAGCAGAGAAACACTATCACTATCGCCCCGTTCTCTGGCGAGAGCGACATCTGCCCCAGAGAGGGGACCTTCAACTTCTTCGAGGTGCACTACGGCAACGTGAGCATCCAGGTCAACACCGGAAATGTGCACCGGATCTGTACGTCCTTCCTCCCTCCCAGACCCGAGGTGGGTGCTTTTGAGATGAAATCGCTACCACGCTTCCGTGTCACACGTAGAAAAATGAATGTAGTTGGTTTAAAAGACGAATTGAGGTGAAAGAAGAGCAACCCCCCCGCCCCCACACACACTTCTGTGCTTAACAGACGCTGGCTGAGATCTGTCACAACGGCTACATGGATGCTCTTCTCTTCCTGGGAGAAAGAGGTGAGCTCCACCACCTTCACAACGCAGCACGCGCCATGTGGTGGCAACTAAAACACGCTGCCAGTCAACTGTCTGTTACAGATCTGCTCGGAGCAGAAGGTCTCCTGCCAGGTCCGTCGGATGTGAAAGAAGTGTCCCAAGAGACACTGCTGGAGGGACAAAACCCTCATCGGGAAGATCACCGGGGGCTGGAGGTCACAGAGAATCTCCCAGGATGCATCAGTGAAGGTGAGGAGGACAGGTGTCAGCGGGCGGAAGGTTTGATCGTCAACAGGAGGGTTTAGTCAGCGTCGAGATAAAAGGGGTGAGGGGTAGGATTAAATGTAAGGTTTTGGGTTATAGTAGTTGTAAGACTAGGCTCACAAATCTACAGTATGTTTACACACTGAGCCCAACATCCCCTTTGGAGATCACTTCCAAAATCAACACAAAACAAAGGTCCCTCGCAACAACTTTAAAATAAAATTGTAATGGATCCTAAAAAAAAATCAATACCTAGAAGATGAAACAGAAAAGATTTATTATTGAACTTTATTTTGGATGAGGAGGAATTTTATTAAAATAAAAAATAACTAACTTCCTGTAGTGAATCTACTGTAAAAGCCCAGACGTGAACTGTACCACAGGGTTATGTATGTGTGTGTGTGTGTTAGTGCTGTGGGAGGCGTGCAGGGACCGTCACAGGGGAGACACTCGGTGGTCTCAGGTCACTGACTTCCTCCCAGTCAGGCTGCTGATGTGTCTTCTCAGCCTCCTCTTGCTGCCCGTTGAGCTGATCTTCTCACTCGCCAAAAGGTAAATAGGTTCCAACGTACCACCAGAAGGAGGCACAGAAACCTTTTCTTTCCCATGCTTCGAATGGTTTCACGTGAAGCACTCTGAACAAATGCGTGAACCCGCCTTGCCTACGTTCTCCAGGGCATTTGGAGAGCAGCGCTGCAGCAGCTCCTCGACCTCCGACCTCACAGCCCGGACAGGAGGAGACGAACAAATCAAACCGGCGGCCTCAACGAACGCCCCCAATTCCAACAGCAACGGCCTGGACTCGTTCTCCCCCACATCCAACTCCCCCAATCTGAACACAGCGGGTTCAGAGACTTTAACCCGCTCACGTAAACGCAAAGGTCGTCAACCAGAAACCACTGCAGGCTAAACCCTTTTAATATGAATGGAATGGAATAATATCGCTTAGTGTGACCCAACAGCCACATGACATGAGGACCAAAAGCTGGACTTCTCAACGATCACACTTTAAAAACAGTAATTGATCCTGATCTAAATCAAGGTTAACAAACACACTTTGAACGCAGTTCATGAAATCATTCCAGACTTGTTTTGAGTTGAAGAGAAGCACACAGAAGTTTGTATCGAGAACAATCTACTACTATTTGGGTTTTATGAGTCAACTAGGTTCAGTTAACACAACATTGTGTGCGATTTAACCCCGCTGTAGTTTACCTAGTTCACAATCTTGTTATAGAAACGTTTTCCATAGGATGATGTCAGTTGAAGGGATCATACAAAACCTCGCAATAGATGCATTTGTCATATGAAAATTATGAGAGTAACAAAATGTGTTGTGTGCTCAACCTTTGTGGGATGTCAATTCAAAACACCTCAGCTATCTTCACATGTTTACAATGAAATGACCGAAGAGCAGTCCAATAATATAAAAAAGGCATCATCAAGACATTTTTAATGGACACGTTTCATAAAATTCCTTGTGAGTGACATTTTCATAATCATACAAAATGTAATTCTAAAATTCCTAGTCAAAAAGAAAACTGATGATAAAAGATTGAAACCTGTAACATTATGTTGAAGGGCTGACCAGGAACTCTCCGTGGAGCCTCTAACATGCACGATGATTTCATCCAGCGATCACCTGTCATAGCACCATGAATGCTAACTAAATCCCCAAATCACAGAGGATCATAACGGCTCACACCGATCCATCAAACCGTCTGGAGTTTGATTTACTGTCGAAACAGTAGAGGTGGATGTTTACGCTTACTGCATGGCCGTGCAGCGCGGTACAGTACAAAGGCTAAACAAACGTTTAAATACATGACCTTCTTCAAGACAGTCGAGCATCATTGTCCCTGATTTCACATATTTTAAAAAAAGAGACTGCCTTGAAGATGATCATACATTAGAGCAGGACCGCAAACAAGATTTTAAAAAATAAAATGCAGGGAATAATCTGCAAGTTCTACCAGAAAAGTCCATCTATGTGTGTGTATGTTCCACTCGAAGACTAATAAAAAAAAAAAAAACAGAAGAGGAAAAAAAAAAAAAAAAAAAGGCAAACGATTGAAAACCAGACAAAAGTAGTCCTGTGTTTATGCGCTGGCCTCCTTTGGTGCCCCGCTGATGTCTGGGATCTGATCTGCGAAGGACTGAGTCATCCACTGTCCGTCTGGCAGCTGGCCCTCTGGTATTTGTGACGTGGTCGCCTCCTGAGCGCCTTCTGAAGGAGAAGTCAGAAACAACTTACTGACTGCCACGGAGTGGTTTTTATTCTTAGATATATTCCCTTTTCTTCCTTTAATTTGTCTATTCCTTGTCATTGCATGTACTGTGTTTTGTTATAGAGTGGTAAAAAGCATACATGGCGGATAAGGCTCATTGGGATTTAATCCACATTTGTACACATGCAGCAGCTCGGTAAATGGATTTCTTCCCCCCGACTTAACTTTAATGGGGAAATCAGGTTTCTCTGTCCAGATTCATTTTGATATGCTGTTTAAGAAACCAGCTCACTGCAGAAAGCCGCCTGTAATCCGGTTCTTAAAACAAATCTGGATGTAATAAAATGTGCAGAAGCAGAACACACTCGACCGCGTTACCTGTGTTGTCTGCACTCGAGAACGTGCAGTGGCCGTTGGTCTGGCTTGGGGCCCCGGACCCTTCGGCCCCTCCAGGCCCTGCCGCAGCCCCGGAGCCTTCAGCCCCTCCGGCCCCTTCGGCTCCTTTCTCCGCATACACTCCACCGAAGGCATCTTCGTAACCAGGATCGTACTGCTCCTCCTTTATGGCCATCCTCTTGGCGTCCTCTGTTCACGTGAACAAAACAAACAAAGAAAGGAGGAAAAGAGTGAATGCCCAACGTCACTGAATGGGATTATGACATTAGGATGTTGTGAATGGCACAAAATCTGGAGCCAACGATGCCACTGCCTATAAGCACGTAACTACTTATTTCTAAACGATTACATGGCGGGTTTTTTGTCAGCACGCCGCGACGCTTCCTTCCTTTTTTCACTTTCATCCGTAACTGTGCTTACCTTTAGCCAACGACAGGTCAAAGGAGTAATCAACCTCCTCGACCTCAGTCGGTTTCTGGACGCCCTTCAGCTGGTCTCGGAGCTCCCTCAGTTTGATGTAGAAGTGGACTTTGTCCTGAGCTCGAGGGAACTGAGCACAGCGAGCGCTGGATGAAGGCATCAGGTACAGAGCCTGTGTGTGTGTGTGTGTGTGTGGGGGGGGGGGGGGGGGGAAGAGAGTCGCGTCAATACTTCAACGAAAGGCTGCAGAGTTTCTAGAAGGTTCAATTCAATTATGGATATCTAAGAGGCATATAACCGTTTTTAATATTGCCTTGTCACGGATATTTGAGCATAATGAAGCAGTGAGGGACTCACCACCTCACAGTCGGGGATCTTGTGCGGCTGCAAACCAAAATCAAGTTTCTTTGGTTTCTTACCAAACATCTCTCTGCAGAACATTTCATAAATGCCTTTGGGGGATGAGAGAAGAACAGAAATGTGACTTCAGTTAAAATTCACGAATCATTTCACTGTGGCTCTGTGGTAGAGTGCTTACATTTTCCATTAAAAACAGCAATAAGAGGCTTGAACGTCTTCAGCTTCTCTACAAGGATTTTGCCTCCTTCACGCAACTCTTTACTGTTGAGATGGAAACAAAAGAAAAATGGCGTCAGAACAAAAGTCTAATTTGTGCAAACAGGAATCTCAGATGATTTAAGCTAAAGATGCCCCCTCCTGGCGCTACATATAGATCTTCAAGCATTACCTCGAGAGGTCTTTGCTTCCTGGCGTCGCTCTGGCCACCATGTTGGTGAAGCCCATTTTGTACTTGCCAGGCAGTGTGGTGTCGTGCATGTGGTTCAGTAGTTCCTCGGTGAACCCGGACAGAAAGAGGCACTTCCCTGAAATGCAAAGTCACCTCGTCATTTCTCTCTGTGGTCAACACAAGCAGATGTATAGTTAATGGTACAGCACATCCAGCTTTAGAACGTAGGGGGAGGAAGGAACAAAAATATTACAGCCATCACATTTTTAATCTTAATTTTTAAGGTGCAGAAGTCAAACGGGGTCTCGCAAAAATAGAACCACTCACGTAACAATCAAAATCATTCTGATCAGACAACTTACAGAAATGATTTCCAGGACCTGGAAACCACCGTCCAATGAAAGCTGCCATCAGTCCTGGGTTGATACCAATCTGGGGAATAAAGCGGCGCACGTTTTTTTAAAGCGTTCAAAAACACAAATAATTTGGCTCCACTCAAACAGCTGAACAGGGAAGCTTACGATGACGTAGTCCAGGTTGTACTCCAGCAGGTCCGGTAGAGTTTTTGTCATGACTTCCTCCTCCGACATTCCCTTGAAGCGGTCGATTTTCCTCTTCACCTTCTTGAAGCTCTCGTCGATCTTCTCTTGCTTGCCGTCTCCCTGAGCGTCGGCGGCCTTCTTGGGCTTAGGACCGGGTTTGGCTTTCGGGGCATTTGGGTCCTTTGCCGGCTTTGGCGCCTTGGGGACTTTCGGAGGTTTTGGTGGTTTTGGTGCTTTAGGAACTTTTGGAGGTTTTGGTGGTTTTGGTGCCTTGGGGACTTTTGGCGGTTTCGGTGCTTTGGGTTCCTTGGGTTGAGCTGATCGGCCTCTTTTTTTGGCCGGGGCTGCAAGAAAAGTTCAGAGAGGTGACGTCAGACGGATGAACTGCCTGAATCTTCGCCATTTTCCTGGTTGATTTCCTGAAGATTATTAACAGAACCATGAGCATGATACGGTCATGCAGTATTACTAAACTTTTGTCAACACTTTATGCTTAATTAAGAATCCTGGGATCTGAGCTCAGAACCAGCCTATAAACAGTGAGAGAGTTCAAAGGGGATCATAGTACGTTTAGCCAGGTTCTCCGGTTCCTGCTGATCCATCATGGGTTCTGGATAAGACATGTGTGCCATGGCTGCCTCCCCCGTCTGCCCCTCTGGGTAGTGAGACGGATGGTTGAAGCCTGAATATTGGGCCTGGAGAGCTTGAAACTGCTGTGCAGACTGAACCCTGTGAGAAAGAATGATTTTTAAACAAACGGGATGCACAACATGTGAAGTTGCAGCGGGATGGGCTGCAGGGCTCAAGCAGAGTTAAAGCCGTGGGCTGAGTAACCACACAATGTGAGCACTGCGTGCTGTCTTGCTTTATTACACAGTGACGATGAATCATTTAGTTTGATAAGATTCTTATAACGGATGGCAGTTTTCATTTATGTATAAGGCATGCATTGAACTTTAGCACATTCGCTAAACAATATCTAGCATCTTTCATGCTAGCTATATTTAAAACTATTTGTTGTTATGCATCATGCACATTCCTTGTATGTGAACACCTGCTGAATAAACTGGATTCTGATTTGATCAATTATCAAGAGCTGGTTAATCCTCATGAAGGAAATTCCTTTATGTTAACTTTATTGTTAGGTCCACATTGTTTGCCATTTTATTTTAGATTGTATGGCTGGTTTGATTTAGTCAGCTGTAGACAATTTAGAGTTTTGTTTGATTTGCAATTTTATCAAATAAGCCGATTTACAACTTGCTAAATTTTTTTAAATGACTGCCTGCATTCATTTTAGCGAGGATGAAGTATGAGCATCACTTCTGAAAATGTGTGCATGTTGAACCTACACTGTATGAAAGCTCCCGGTCAACGAGGGTTATGGAAATAAGGACACTGTAAGAAATGTTAAATCCTATTGAGTGAAAGGATTCCACTGAACAGACGCTTCCCTTTACTTTGCCTCTTTTAGAACAAAGTAAAACTCCATCAGGTTACAACCAAGCGATACACACAGCATTGAAAATCATCATTAACGCAACGACCCAAACACAAATGGTAAAACGAAACTCAAAAAAAGGGGCACACATGCTTCATTTCATTTTCATCCCACTTTGCCGTTCAGAGGTCTGCAGATGTAGTTGAGTGGACCACCTTGTGGCGGAGGAAGACTCACCACTGTTGAAGATACTCCGGGGAGACAACAGGGAATCCATTCAGCTTGTCTTCCATCTTTTGGGTGGTTTGACTTTATCAAATAAATCAATAGGCAAATTGAGGAAACATAGCTGGGGGATGTACACGTTGGTTTAGCATATTGAGGGTCTGGCAGTGTATGAATCTGAATGCATGTGCCGGGGCATTTCACATAAAGGGTGGCGGTAGCAACAAAAGACAAACCACGAGATGAACAAGACCAAACAAAAGAATGACGACGGAGATAACACAACAAAACAAAGTTAAAACAGCGTCACGTAGAGCGTACGAACAGTGTATATTCTTCACAGCAGAATCCACTTCTTACGTTACACTCGCACCTTGTTCCACGGCTATGCTAACCAGCGAGCTAAACCCCAATGGAAACCGGATCACGTTATTCGTTTTCAAACCGCTTCAAAATGGCGTTACGCTGCTAGTAGGTAGATGTACGGGTGTGCTGGTGTCTCATTGGAATCACAGATATTTCATATTCCGGGAGCTAATCCGAATTGTATTGTTAAAAGCAATTTAGCAGCAGTGCCATAAGTGCAGCTAATATTTGCAAACAGCTAGCTGTTGAGCTAACTTAGCATGGATGAATGGTTTCGAATCGAGCGAGATTCCTCGCATAGAAATCGCCCCAGCTTTACCAGTATTTAAAAACGTAGACGTACCTGTTGTGGGTAATGTTTATATGAGTATCTTCTGTACGTAAAACTGTTATTTTTCCATCTATCCTGCTATTCTATTCACAACATATGAGGAGCAACAGCGGCAACAAAGACATGACAGCCCTGCCAGTCAACTTTGACACCAGACGATCCCAAGTCCAAGACGTAGGTGTGCAAGAATAAGCATAGGTTTGACTCTAGAAGAACAAATGACTAAAAGGGACCTAAACAATATTATTTAGTTTCATATATCTATATGCAATAAACATCTTTGAATACGGCGTTTTTACTAAAAACTACACTGTAAATGTAAAACCAAACGAAACTCTACCTCCCCTATAGAATAGTTGGTATGAGCTGCTCGGCTTTTAAAGTCTGCTGGCGAGGCTCCCTATTGGCTGATAGTGGGCGATGTTTAAAGGGTTTGTTAGCAGCTTGGTGCAGGGATGACGATTTTCTGCATATATATACACACAATAACAGTAAATGAATGGCTCCTAACAAAAGATTTATATGGAAGTATGGGCCTATTTAAAACTTGATCTGCAGCTTATGATGATGACTAATTTACTAGCAGTTGTAATCAAATTCACTTGGAAAAAGATTGTCTTGAGGAATCAGTCCATGGGTTAAATAGAGGTTACAAAACCAACAAAGCAAACTTCCTGACAGTGTTAAACTCTATCCTATCAATTGATACTGGTATGTTATTTTGCATTAATTAAAGATTTTCCTTCATTCTTTCATTCCCAGTTGGTCAATTGTGTGTGTTTGTGTGTTTCTGAGAGAGAGATACATTTTGACCAGATGAGTGCTGGTTAGGGGTCATAAAGTGTGTTAAACTCCACTTTGCAGCTTAGCATTGCTTCTCCAGTTAGTTTCTCCAGTTGTTTCAACATGTAACATATTACTGCAAACACGGTAAACGCATTAATCAACTAACATTTGAATTGTAAGTTTAAACATTCTTCATCTTTGTCATCATCACCCACAACACTGCTCACAAATATAACAAATGACTGTTCACGAATAAATACCGACCAGACCATCTTAAGAAAAGAGGTAATAAAACTCCAAACTATGGTTTACATTTGGTACATTCATCATTTCAAGTCTTCATACTTAAACAAAACGTTGCTTGATCCCAGCAGGAGCATTCAGTTCCAGGTAACAACCCTCTCCTCCCCACGTTGGTTTATTTACACCTCTGTGTTTACATCGTGATGGGTGTCGGATCGTTGCCTGTCACTACCCCTGTGCTCCTCGGTCTCCTGCTTGAGTCTCTGCTTGATTACAGCACTGGGATCGGGTGAGCAGTGGAGCTGGTGGATGCAAACAACGGGCTCGCAAAGGTTTGAATAATTGACTTGTACATTTGGCCTTTGGCTTTAAGAAAGAATCTCTTTAAGTCCCTTCAAATACGCATACGTCCGTCATTAGAGGAGCCCTCCCTGACACATGGGAGCACTCCAAGTTTAAATTTATGTAATCAACACCGTAGACTCAATGCTTGGAGAGATGATCTCATAGTAGATATTAATCACAGAGAACGAGTGATCTGTAAAATTCTTCCTGATGATGATAACAGGACCAAATGCAATAATGTTGGTGGTTTACTTACTCAATGCTGGAACATCAACAAGAATAATTATTCTAGGAGAACATATTTAACCTGATATCCCCTGCAGTGCTGCAAAGCACTGCACACTGTGTACACTGTAAATCCTGATCGCTTCGCACCAGGCGGCGCCCTCGATTAATCTGCCCCGGCTCCAGGCTGGGAGATTCATTGCAATGACAAAATTAAGCTTTGCACTCTTTCCACGGGTTGTGCGTTTGTGATTTTGAAAATGAGACAATAAACGTAACCAGCTTTAGAAGAGATTTAATAACTCTGTAATTATTGATTAGAAACTCCCGTGTACAATTACCTATTTTTACAGCTGATAAATCATAAAATGTCGTTCTTTCAAAATACAAAAATAAGTCACTGGACACGTGTACCATACAAAATGCAATAAATAGTGATAAAAAATGACACCAAAAACATGCAGTCTGTTTGAGAGTTAGAAAATGTAACCGCGCCGGGCACTTCCTCTCTTGTGCGTCTCAGCGCGAGGCCTCAGGAGGAAGGACCTCTCTTTAGTTGCGGTGTCATCAGAAGGCTTCTCGCCCTCGTTGATGCGTCATGCTACTTGCACAGCTGATATCCGGTGTCTGCTCAGCGAACCTCTCCGGGTGCAGCGCTCCCGCGTCGTCCGCTGAAAGTCCATTTCTGCGAGACGCCGCAGAGCAAACCGAGAAGATGAGCCGCGCAGTTCTGGAAACCACCAAAACGATGTTATAATTGGACCATCGGCACCTCGAGGAAGGCTCAGGTCGTTGTTTTTACAAGCGTGCTTTTAAGCAGATCAACAGACTGTTACATTTGAAAATGAGCTCAGTGTGACCCGTGCACTCCAAAATATAACAATCAACAAGAAAGGAAATATTAGAAAAGCTTTTAGGAAGCACGTAGAAAAGCGGCTGAATTGTTCAAGGCAGCCAACATGCTCAGGGTATCTAACCAATGTAGGGTTTTTAATATTTCCGCCGGTGGAAATATTAAAACCGGCGTGCATGGATTTCCCGTTTGTGAAATACGCAGACGAACCCCTTTGTGTTTGTAACTTGTTGACCCATTTGCTAACTTATAAAAAGGCATTCTTTTGTTTTGTACATTCTCTTCCTGGTTGGTTATGGATCTTTGAGTGCTTGGACTGCCTTCCTGTTTAGACCTCCAAATAGATGCTAGCAATCTCTCAAAGTGGGTTGTGGTAATTTTTTACTTTTACGAGTTTATTCTCCTGAAACTGCAATTCCATCCGGTTCAGTCTGACTCTGCTGAGAACGACGTGGCGACTTCACTACCTGTGTGCTACTGCAGACCGGCCCTTTCGCTCCCCTCCCCTCGGCCTCTCTCAGTTGGTGGAGTTGCTGCTTTGCCTCGCGTCCCCACGCACCTCGGCACAGCTTTCGTACTCTGGATCCACCTGCTCCTCTTTGATTGCCATCCTCTTAGCGTCCTCTGCAGAACCAAGGAAGCGTAAAGGGGTTAGATCTTCCTAAGAGACGTGAACGTCGGTACAAATAGACATAAAAGAGGCTGAAATGGACCGTTCACCTTTTGCTAAGTGCAGGTCGAACGAGTACTGCGTCTCCTCCACCTCGACCTTGGGCATCAGGCCTTTCATCTGGTCCCGCAGCTCCTTCAGCTTGATGTAGAAGTGAACCTTGTCCTGCGCGCGGGGGAACTGGGCGCAGCGAGGGCTGGAGGACGGCATCAAGTAGCAGACCTGCGGGGAGTGAAGTACGCCGTGAGCGTGCTGGTTGTTCATTCTGAGAGGGACGGAGGCGCTTTTTCAACGTACCGTTTCAGTTTCTGGGATTTTGTACGGCTGCAGGCCAAAGTCGAGATTCTTTGCCTTCACCCCGAAGGTTTCTTTGCAGAAGATTTCGTAAATGCCTGAAGAAATCAACAAAATGTCAACGCGCTGCTCACCTCGCCCAATGGCTTTATGAATAAGCCTCCGAAACGCTTCAAAGTTCAGTCGTTTTGCTGCTCCAATAAGTGTACCTTTTCCATTAAAAGCTGCTATTAACGGTTTGTACTTCTGCAGCTTGTCAAGTAACTGTCGACCTCCTTCTCGAATCTCCTTGCTGGGCCAAAAAAAACAGAACCAGATGAACATTATCTATGTTTGTTTCCAGGGACTTTTTTGGAACTCCACTGTTGCAATGCTGCTGAATTTCCAGCTTAGAAGTTCAATGCAATTTTCTTGATATTCACCTGGAGAGGTCCTTGCTGCCGGGCGTGGTCCTCTCCACCATGTTGGTGAAGCCGATGCTATATTTCTCCGGCAGACTTTGGTCGTGCATGAAGTTGAGCTGCTCGTCGGTTAGACCGGAGAGAAACAGACATTTCCCTGGAGGGGAAAGAAGAAAGGAGTCAAACATTTAGTTTGCCAGGTCGGCTAGCCACACCCAGAACAGCGTTTTAATATTTTGAGGGGTTTTAGGTTGTTGTTGCTTCGCTGAGTCTACTGAATTATTTCAGCGGGTTCGTTTTCAAGCATAACTTTGTGGTAGACGGAGTTTTTTTATATTAAAACATTGTATATCAGAACAACAATGAATGGGGCGCAAAAAAAAAGATGAAAAAAGAAGAAACAATGGTGATCGTGTTATACTTTAGAAAAGTTTATGTAAATCCTTTTGAGAAAACCTGTCGGTCAAAAAAACTTGGTGATAAATAAGTGGTAAATTTGTAAACATCATCATCGTCATTTATACATTTTCTATTGACCTCATGAATGTTAGAATGAATGTTAACATTAATAAACGTCAACGTTATGAAGAAAAACTGTTCTTTCTGCTCATTCTCTGCTGGTTGCAGTGAATCACTGGAGTTTAAATGCTGAAAAAAAAAAACATTTCCACAGCTACACATGAAAAACAAATAATTTCATGAAACCTCTTTGTAATTCAGATGCATTGAAGTATCTGGACCTTTTTAAATGCCATCGCATGGATTTGAAATGATAAGTCTGAACAGATCTGAGCTGTTTGTAGTGACGGAAGACGAAGGACGGGGTTTATTTCCTGCAGTCAATCGTGAAACTGGATTTCCACTCACAGAAATGGTTTCCTGGGTTCGGATAATGGCGTCCTTTGAAGGCTGACAATAGTCCTGGGTTAATTCCAATCTGAGGAGAAGCATGAAAGTGTTACCATGGCAACAGACGGGAAAATGACATGTTTGTTTGTGTCTAAATATTTTCTGTACAATTGAAACCCATTCACCACTTGCAAAAATGGAAAAGTCTCACTATAAGAATGTCGAGATTGTAGGTGATGACGTCGGGGAGGGTTTTGGCCATAACCTCAGCCACCGACATGCCGTTGAAGCGGTTGAGAGCCCTCTTGGCTTTCTTCGCGGCCTCGACCTCATTCTCCCCCTCCTGCGTCTTGCCGTCCTCGGCCGGCTGCTTCGGCGGTCGGCCCCTCTTCTTCTTCACCGGCGTCGCAGCTAGGACAGAGAGGAGGAAAATGTAGATCCAAAAGGATTTATGAGCCTTTGAATCATGCATTCAAATTGGGTAGGATCATGTTGGCATGGTGGACTTCTTAACCCTTTGATATTAGTTCGTATCAAACGGTTTGTTTAGGGATGAATATATCTATGAATGCTGTTTGCCACTTCCTTGCCTTACCACGTATGTGCTATTACAGATAATAGTGAGGTAAGGCTATTATTTTAGCACACACGACAAAAGTGGGGTTGGAAAGTGAAACTCGTTCTGATTTGAAACGTGTAAAGTAAAACATGTTGTAACAATAATGGCGTAATTAACAACATACGCATTGTAATTGGTAGTGGGTCGTTCGAGATACAACGTGGACAGAAATCCCCTGCTGCCACGTTAAAATGGAGCTCTGGTGAATACTCGGATCAATCACCTCTTCCCTACCTTGGGAGGGGGCAGCCGGCTGAGGTTGGTGCTGAACACTCGGCTCCAGCTGCTGTATTGTATGTTGGTGCTGAGGGTGGTGCAGGTGTGCAGGATGCTGCTGCTGCTCATGCTGCTGCTGCTGCTGCTGCTCCCTGGCGTGCGGCTGGTAGCTCAGGTCCTGGTAGTGATTTTGGGTCGGGGGGTTATAGTTCTGGTAAAAAGGTTCCTGGTAGACGGGCGGTTCCCGGTGGACAGACAGCTCGGCCATTACGAGGTCATCTCTGGGCCCTTCTGCGTAGTGGCCCATGTTGTGATAAGACATCACATGCTGCGCCTCGGGGTGCTGCTGGCTGGACTGGTACCTAGAAAACAGAGGGTGCACAACCGAAGACGAGATGAGGAGGAAGGTCAAATTTAAAAAGAGAAGGAAAAGGGAGAAGAAATTAAACAGGATCCCGACAAAGCAAGAAAGGACAAACTATGTCTGGTGCTCGATGGGGTGCGTGGAGAAGTGGCTGAGGCAAACTTACAAGACACGATACTTACAAACACACATGCGCTGATATACACCTGTTTGTATTCTCTGCATTTCATTCAGCTCTGACAGTACTTTTACTTGCTTTTTTTATTTTTCCTGAGCCTCTCACGTACAACACTTATTGCATCCAGGTCGGTTTAACACAGACTTTGTTGTGCGCTCGGGGAAGACCGACCACGACCAAACTGTGACGGTGGAAGGAGAGGAAGTCCACTACAGGTCCAGAGCCTCTTGCATGGTTCTGTTCATCACGGCAGGAGTGTGCATGATGCCTGTAGCAACTGGTGTAATAACTGTTCAGTAACGAGTCAGATAATAAGAAATATGATGTACATTTATCAAACCAGCTACAGAGTACATATAATGCAATATCATCAAGGTTACTATTGCAAGTTAATCAAATATATAGTATTGATTGTATTGTTAAATGGTTATCACCCTTAATAACTACACTGCCACTTGGTACAAGTCTAAATACAAGGAATACAAGGATGTATGGTGTCGTGTGTCAAATGCTATTTCTTTTTTTTCCTCTCTATCTCATGCATGAAAATGAAGACGTCAGGGAGATAACATGAGAAGTTTTCCACGACCTGCCACCTCCAGCACCAACTCACCACTGCTGAAAATAATCCGTGGGTACCGTCAGTGATGTATACTGGTTTTCTTCCATCTTAACTGTTGACTTATTTCAATACATTATCATTCATTCTGCTGCCAAAAAAAAGCGTCAACACACACTGGAGATGTGAGCTGTGTGGAGTTTGCAGCACATACGGTACACAAAGAAGACTTATGGACGCGGCTACAAGAAGATGGAAGGCTTAGCTAACAGTTAGCTAACAACGCTACGCGGTTCCACAGACGTCTTCAGACCGCGAGCCACCTCTGGGTTAACGAGACACAAAGGTATTTGAGGGAACTACCGTACCTGTCATACATTTTGTTCTTTAGTTTTCAAATAGGAAGACTGGGGGCTGGCAATCCTCCCAAAACAAAGACCATTTAAACGCTTAATGATTCCTTTAGCGCAGGTCGAGTGAAGGCTTACCGCCGCCTGCTGGCCAGGAGGGGTACTGCATGCCTCCAACTAAAAATTATAATTTTAGATATTTAATACTGTTTTTCAAGTTTATTATTACAAGAAATGAACGACGATTACAGTAAAATATTACCCATCATTTTATTGTATTTTAACATCATTGGATTACAGTGTATTGTCGAAGGACCGTTTGAAGTTCGTAGAAACTACCTCTAGATGGCGCTAAATCTTGTATGTATGAAAACACAGCCCAGATTTACACTGCAGACGAACAAGGCAGCCAAAGATGGCATGTTTACTTAACGTGCACCACTCCAAGTTAGAAAAAGGATCAGTGAAAGATACGCAAAGGATGAAAACTCCCTATTTGAGCCCTCCAGATGATTATCCAAGCTATTATTTACTGTTTTGTCGTACATTGTCAAATGTACTCATCTTTGATTGGCACAACAATGTAAATTAAATATATATTACCACACGGAGTATGTGGCTGGCGAGGGGAGCTTTTCAAATGAAAGCTAAAAGATTAAACGTGTAGCTAGCTGGCCATGCATCAACAAGCAGCCTTACAATGGTGTGATAGAAAGATCATTCAAGCTGAAAAAGCATTAATATACCCCTTAAACAAGAAATTCACCTTAAACCAGAACCCATGAATGATCAAACATGTGACGGGACACGGCGGACGGATATAAACTGTGTGGTATCAGTAAATAGAGACCGAGTGAGACCTCCTACTTCTTTTTTTTTATCTCCGTGTTAGCTAAACAGCATGACCTGCGTGCGAGTCCCAATGACAGGCATTTGGATTCTACTATGGTGAAAGTTAATTTCATATTGCACTCTTTTATTTAACGGCAGTGGGTTAAACAAGGTAAGGTCCTACTAGCCTCAGTTTCTGTCTTTAAATATATTATCATATATTGTTTTCTATTCTAACATTACATCACGGCTAACAAGGTTAGCATCCTCACTGGATTTGCTGATCAAGTGGTTACACACTGACGCTATTTGTTTGTATAACAGTGGACCTCATTGAATTATATTTTTAGCCAGATAACCCTAATTGCAACGTAGACCTATGATCAAACAACATGGGGCATAGCTCTGATTATGAGTCTTTTTCAAGTAAGTAGAGAACAGCACTTGTAGATATCTGGAACCATGTTTGACTTTGCATCTTAACAAAAGAGGGACCGGATGAACAAAACATGACATGATCCTTTCTTGCTTATCACTTGGTTTGTTTACCTCTTAACCCCCCCCCCCCCCAGACGTCTGTGAAGATGCCAGCAGGTGTGTCTTGGCCCCGTTACCTGAGGATGTTAGGGGCCAGTATGCTGGCCATGTTTGCGGGGGCACAGGCCGTCCACCAGTACTACCTACCCGATCTGGTGAAGGACACACATTGTCTCACATGTCTGCTTTTTTGTCTTCATTCTTTTCAAATGCTAAATGTGTTTTTTCTGATGTCTTTTATTTTTCAGAGTATACCAGAGCTCCCGCCGAAGCCCGGGGAGCTTAAGACAGAACTGCTTGGCTACAAAGTCAGAGAGGAAGCTACTGCTGCGTTACAGCAGTTTAAAGCAGAACAAAAGGTGGACTAATGTGGAATTCTACGTCCTCTGTCTGATGGACACACACTTTATTGGTCCAGCAGCGACAGGACATCTAAAAATGGATCTTGGTGTTTGCTTTCAATGAAGCAAACACAATCGCGATAAGGGATCCTACGGGGATCGAGATCATCTGGTTTATTCAGCCACTGGTATCCGTATCTTCATTTTTCTAATGCATTCATATCTTCAGATCAAGCGGTGAAGTAAGGTAATGCTTCATGAACACGTGAACTGACATGATTTGATAATTCTATCAAAAGTGTATCTTTTGATTGTTCTCTCCTCTAGGAGACGCTTTTCTCTGAAATAAAGATATCACACTAAGCTTCTGTCGTTACTTGTTTTAAAAGTTATCGCTGTATTATTTAATCATCAACAATTGTGATATTTACAGCTTATTGAAAATTAAAAATGCAATGCCTATTTTTATTGTATTGTCAATTCAACAGTTTTGTAGGTTTTTGGACTGTTGGTCAGAGAAAAGAAAGCAACATTAAAACATCAGCGGAGAGGTTCAGTAGTGAAACATTAATATCTGATGACCAAGCGGCCCGCAACGGATGTCTGCATTATTGAGGAGCCTCGTGTGTGCGCGCGCGTGTCAGTTGGGTGTCGGCGTATCCTAGCAACAAGCGAAAAGTCGAGCGGAAAAGATGGCGTCGCAGAGGGAGCAGGACGCCGCTGACTACGTGCAGAAACACAAACTGCTCGAGCTCATGGAGAACCTGAACAGCATGCTGCTCTTCCACAGACCCGGTCAGAGACACAACACCCCCCGCGAGGAAAATAACAGGTCCACGCGGGACAAGTTAGCCGGCTAACTCCATGATCAGTTCGATTGTCAGACACTAATTAAGCCGAACTATTTAAGTTGTTTTATAGCATCTGTGCAGTTCATAGTACTTCTGTTGCTACGTGGAAACGATGGAAATATGTTAAGCTCACACACTATTCACTGATTAAGTGTGTTCTTTGTTGTCCATCAAAATACTATATTGTTCGTGCAGCTCTTTGTTCATTTGAAATGTTTGCTCTGACTTCATATATTTTATCTGCTTAGTGTTGAGTCATTTAACCTGAATTGGTGACTTATTCCTCCATTTAGAGAATCCCAGAGAGTTTCTTGTGGAGCAGCTGGAGTTATCTCAGCAAAGTGGTAAAACGGGGCCCAGTCTGTTTAACAATGACGACCTGGATACAGTCTTTGGGTTACTGGACCCCATTAAGCAAAAATACATCAACTTTGCCCAATACAAGCATGGTAAGCACTGGACATGGACCTTGTGTTTGACACTTTCAACTGGATGGAATATGTGATTGATTTATACCAGCAACCAAGTTGTAAGCTCGTGAAAAGGATTGAACAAGATTTTAAAGCATTAAAAAAAACAATAGTGGTTGCCTATTTATTTGTATGGGACATACACGCTTTAAATTCACCAAGTCGGGGCGGCGTTACAAAAAATTACACTTTGGACTTGCATTTTTCCTCACAGCTCTGACCACACTGGGCATACAAACCATTAATGAATGCCCAGATGGTGTGAATGAAGACAGAATAACCCATGAGACCTTCATTGCAGAAGCGTAAGAGCACCTTATAAAACTTTAACGTTACGCCAATACTCAGCAGTGTTTCTTACTACTTACCATGTTATTAAGACCATTGTCATGTTTTGTTGTTACAGGATTGCAGGCATGCAGAGATGCTCAGCAACATGTGAACAACTGTGAACTTTGGTTTAATGTTGATTTGAGCCAATGTACTATTTACTCATGGCGCTGAGATGTGTTTGGATGATGCTTTTGAGGATTCGTGTGGCGCTTGTATATTGAACTCACTTTCTATTAAACTGCCTCTGTGTTTTTCTGTCAGTCATTTTTTGTCAATATTTGTTGTGCAATACAACAGTTTATTTATGTTTGAATCATTATTTCTCTTTACCCTGATAGTGATATAAAACAACAGTTTTCCAGTGCATCCTTCTCCATGTGTTATTCACACTTTGCAGCGTCGCCCTGTTGAATGCGCGTCAGCAGGGGGGCGTGGCCAGGAAGTGACATGGCCGCCGCCTTGTACGGAGCCTCCTCGCCTCTCTCCGGTTACTTGTAGGTTAAAGTACTCGTTTCTTTTTCCACGTAAGGCGTCGTCCGTTTTTCCACCGAGACACCGTCCAGCAAAGCTCAGCATGGGCACCGTCCACGCCAGGGTGAGAGAACCTCCAGGGGGGGGGGGGCGCCGACCGGGACTTTGACCTCCCGGAGCGTTCGGTGGTCCGGACCGGGCCGTGCTGCGGGGAAAGGCCCTCACGGAACACCGACCCCGGTCCAGCAGGGCTCACACTTCCACACTGCTTTATCAATCAGCGTTGGTTTGTAACGCTCTGCGGGGGAATGTTAGAAAGCGTCTGCGGGGAGGACGGAGATGCTAGTGGCGCAGTGTGTGTCGTCCTGTTGCACACTTTGAAGTACACACTTTGTGTTGTTTACACTGTTCTTGTCCACATCAAGTGAACAAGACTGCAGCTAAGACCAGCGTTAAAAGTAGAATCCATCAATAAGTTACATGTTTAAAAGGAACATCTAATTATTTGGACTTTTATTACTAATTGCTTGGTTACTGTTTTTTGACAATGATTTTGACTCTTCTGTGTTTTTGTCATGCTCATAACACTTTTTTAACCTGTCAATTTCGCTGTATTTATTTTTTATTATTATTTTCTATCCTTTTAATGCAGACATTTATCCTATTGATGTTCCACTAAGACCGCTTTCTTTTCACAATTTGTGTTTTTGTTTACCTGTTTACTATTTTCTTAATTAAATCATTATTGTCGCCTCATCCATGACTTTTTCGAAAGCATACATTTCTCTCAATCACATGCTCCGGCTTCAGTAATAATTTCCTAATTTTCTCTGTTTAATATTGACCGGTAAAGAAGACATTTAGAAATGTAATCTTGAGCAAAAAATGTGATGAATATTTTCGACAGTCTTAAATAAAATAAATTGATCAGCACATTGAGCGATAGTAAAACAAAACAAAAAGAATCATTGCAGCCCTGCTCTGCTGCCGGGCACCTCAATTTTGTGGAGAATACTTCCAACGTCTGTATTGCACCGTAGTTCTGTAATGTAAACTCCTCTCAGTGTTGTCCGTCTCTCTTGTATTCTGTCTTGTTTTGTGTTGCAGAGCCTGGACCCTCTGCCCATGCGAGGGCCCGAGCTCGGGGTTCAACCTGATGACATCGAGGCTCCGGATATCGAGCATGAGCCAAAACAAGAAGTTCTTGAGAACAAGAATGTAGGTTTCGTTTGTTCCAGGCAGTAATTAAACTGCACTCTCGCTTGTGACATTGTCCTCCTTTGTTTGTTTGTGACATGGACAGCCGTTTCCGGATGTTCTAAATATTTCGACTGCTGTTCGTCTCTTCTGTTCTCCAGGTTGTTGTACAACAAGTGCACATAGAAGGGCTCGGAAGAACTAAAGAGGACCTGCTGACTTATGAAATCGCAGAAGTCTTCCGGGCAAAGAACTTGATCGATGTAGGTGCATGTTGACACGGCTGCTCTAATTATGCTCTTTTAATTCATGCTTTCGATTGCATTAAAAAAAAATGTTGTGCAGGTGATGCGAAAATCTCACGAAGCCCGACAGAAGCTGCTGCGTCTCGGCATCTTCAGAAAAGTCGAAGTTGTGATCGACACTTCAAGAGGTGCCGTCTATCGCTGGTTACCCGGGTGCACTTTTTTAAATGAATGCACGTTTATAATGACTCATTCCACTGGCTCTTCAGGTGAGGACGCTCTCCCCAACGGCCTCGACGTGACGTTCGAAGTCACCGAGCTGAGGCGGATGACGGGCAGCTACAACACCATGGTCGGAAACAACGAGGGAAGCATGGTGAGCTTGAGAGGGGGCGGCTGCCTTCAGACTGATTCCATTTCCTTCTGAGAAGATTATTTCCACTGTTGACTTCAGCAATCGAAGCCCTGATCGTCTCTCCCGCTTTTGATTTTCAGGTACTCGGCGTGAAGCTACCCAATGCATTAGGGCGGGCGGAGAAAATGACCTTCCAGTTCTCCTACGGCACCAAAGAAACATCCTACGGCCTTTCTTTCTTCAAACCCCAACCAGGAAACTTTGAACGCAGGTAAGACGCAAGACGCTCACTTTACACACATCGCCTTAAAATACGACAGACAGATATTTTGGCAAATTGGCAGACTCTCCTGGAACTTTAGACTTAGGGTTGTGTCTGAGTGAAGATATGGTATAGATGGGTATAATTCATAGTCACGTAATTTCCTCGGTTTTCCACTTCCAGCATCGCGCTCAACATGTACAAAGTGACGGGTCAGTTTCCATGGAGTTCTCTGAGGGAGACGGATCGAGGCATCTCCGGAGAACTGAGTGTAAATACTTGATTATATTTATTGGCGTATTTTGTATTTGTGAAGTTAAAAAGGTTCTTATCCTCTGCACAAAGTGAATTGAGACATCTAAGAACTAAATGAGATGAACATTGTCATAATGGAAGGGATCAACATGTTCTTTTTCGGACCATAAGGTCCGGTTCTGAGTTGGAGTTTTGCTCCCTAGAAATAAATGAATAAATAGTAAATGTATTTCTCTCACATGAACTTATGTATGGATGGATAATGATTTGAGGCCTACCAAGACGAGTCTGTCACAGAGCCATCATGTTTCTCATGTCTTAAGGATCCACATGGGCATGAGATCATTATAGACAAAAGTAATAAGCTGGTGTCGTATTTACCTCCCCCAGTTCCCCGTATGGAAGACCAACCAAACCCTGAAGTGGGAGGGCGTGTGGAGGGAGCTCGGCTGTCTCGCTCGCACCGCCTCCTTCGCCGTCCGGGAGGAGAGCGGCCATTCCCTCAAGTCCTCACTTTCGGTATTTGTCTTTTATTTTATGTTGAATATTTCACTTTGAAACCGCTGTGTGCTTTGAAGGGTTCTCAAGAACTGCTCATCGCTCATTGATGCCAGGGACGTGAAGTGGAGCTGCATTCTGGACCCACGGAATCACGTGGAAAATGATTTATTTTAAACCTTTCGCCGTGTTTTTACGCGTGAGCGATGTCATCATGTTTTCCAGCACTCGATGGTCATCGACACCAGAAACTCCTCTATTCTTCCCAAGAAAGGTGGCCTGTTGAAGATCCATCAGGTTTGTGGTTAAGTACTTTTTTTTTTTTTTTTCAAAGAAGTTGCCAAACCTTGTGCACCAGGTTGACGTTGGTGTGGTGTTGTCTAGGAACTTGCTGGTTACACCGGCGGAGACGCCAGTTTCTTAAAGGAGGACTTTGAGATACAGCTCAACAAAACACTCTTCTGGGACTCGGTGAGATTCCACCTTTTTACCTTTTAGCCATTTAGGAAATGAAGATCGGGTTGTTAATTTTAAGAGACTACTTGATTTCTGTTGTGATGTAATGGGAGTTTCAACAAAGAAAAAAAAGGCTTTTGGGGGTTATTAACCTTGACTTAAAGCAGTTTTAATGTGCCAAACTTCGAGGTTCTAGTTAAGATTTTACTTCATGACGAGCAGCCTTATTCCCTTTAGTGTAGTCCTTACTTAGCCAGATGCAAGCTGTTGATGTTAAAAACAACTCTGTATGACGTTCTGTGCACCACGGTTAACCGTTGGCTTTGTCCTCAGGTCCTTTCTGCCTCGCTGTGGGGCGGTTTGCTTCTGCCCATCGGCGACAAGCCAACAAGCATAGCAGACAGGTACAAGAATACAATGCACCACCCTTTGACCATCACCCACAAGGCCAAAGGAGTTTGAAGTCTTGACAATCCAGAAGATTTTATTTTAATTTAAATATATTTGTATAATCTATGTGTGTTAGATTTTAATTGAGGTTTGTCTGAGAAAGGAAGTATCATTTTTGTGCAAACTAAACTGCTTTTTCTGTTTTCACTGAACGCTAATCATACATATTTCTGTTTTCGGTGTCTCTGTGCACCTCCTAGGTTCTATCTAGGTGGCCCCACCAGCATCAGGGGATTCAGTATGTACAGTATGGGCCCACAGAGTGAAGGTGAGACAATAACTTGGCGGACTTGCTTGGTAACCAGACTGAAGTCTGATGGCTAATTGAAAGGTTGTGTGCTGGAATTACTGATATGGCAGGCGACTACCTGGGAGGAGAGGGCTACTGGGCTGGAGGCCTCCACCTCTACACGCCTCTACCCTTCAGGCCAGGGAGGGGGGGCTTTGGTGACCTCTTTAGGACACACTTCTTCCTCAATGCAGGGAACCTCTGTAACCTCAACTATGGTGAGTAGTTGGAAACAGAACAAGCACCTCTGTAATAGTAGTGTATAATAGTGTAGTCCACATTTGGACTGTTGCCTCTTGATTGGGCAAAGCAGAGCTGCAAAGATTTTGCAATTTTCTTGTAATTGTTGTTTTTACTCAGGCGAGGGGCCACAAGCACATTTGAAGAAACTTGCAGAATGCATCCGTTGGTCATACGGACTCGGCATTGTGCTGCGTTTGGGGAACATTGCCAGACTGGAGCTAAATTACTGCATTCCCATGGGAGTCCAGAGTGGAGACAGGTAGGGCCGGTTGGGTTATTTCGTTTTGGGGTATATTGATTTTCTTTTATGGACACCTTAGGAACTAGATCAACCTCATTGGCTTCCCTGAAAATAGAAAGCAATGGATAAATGACATGAAAGGACACATTATATCAAACAATCCCACTGAACCTGCCTGAACAGCTGGGTCTCATCATCTTGTGTTCTATACAAGTGAAAAGTTTTATTCTTGGTTCAAATACACCTAGAGGCCAATGTTTGTCTTTACCTTTTGTTTGACTTGGTGTGTTTGTTATGATGTTCAAGTCCTGCTCAAAGAGAAGTCTGCTTCAGAATTTGGAATATTGGCCGGCAGCATTCTTTCTCTTGCCGTTGCCACAAGCATGAGGAGCAGGAAGCTGCTGTTCCATGGCTCTCTCATGTACAGTACAAACCGGAGAAGTCTGATGTACATTGTGTCCTCAACATGCATTGGATATAATTAGATTCTTGGTTTCCTTTGACATGAATTTCAACTTATTTTCTCCGTCCCTTGTAGGATATGCGACGGGGTCCAGTTTGGAGCAGGAATCCGGTTCCTGTAAAGCCACATCACGTGGATCTGCAACTTTCAATAATATCAACATTCATTTTATGTCAGTAACATTTTATTGGAAGAGGAAATGACTTGTACATAATTGGTTGTTGGAACTGATTAGTTCAGTAAAAGTGTTTGCACCGACTGTTTGTTTTGATGTATTGTCTGTTTATCATTTGATGTCAGAAGTGAAATTATGTGTTCTTGAGAGATTTTAGATTTTTTTTTTTTTTGATTTTTCTCCGGTGTGACCGAACGTGAGAATAAATAGCAAATAGCTGTCTGTATTATACTTTTAAAAGGTGAACACTATTGCTAGATAAACATTGGTCTGAATTTAGGGATTAGGGTCAATGATTTACTTACTTTATTTAGTTTTCATCAGCTTTCATAACAATATCAATACCTGTAAATTTGCCACACCGGCTTAATCTGAATACAACAAATACAATGCAAAAGTCAAGAGTCATATTTTAAATTGAAACATCTAGCATAAACATATCGTAGCGCTGTAGGACGACGAAATAATACAAATAATGTCAATATAGTACAATAAATACAATAATTTTGTCGGTATAAACATTTTGACCAGAGCGTTCTGATTTGAATATTTGGTAAACCGTTTTAATGCGTATTAGTTCTGCGCACACTGGTGGTCACGTGTGCCGTGAGTCTCCAGGTGATTGGCTAGGCCCGCGCATGACCCGGATTCATTGTTCCGTAGCATTTAGCCTGCAAGCCACACTGCGGAAAGACCGACCGTGGAGGGCTTTTCATTCACAGGATTTTAGAAGTTTCTCCCCGTCCCCTTTCCGAAAGCCATACATCCCGATAATACGGCGTGGTTTACGCTACAACCTTCTTTAACGGAGCAAAAACAACTGGAAAAGATATATATTCTCTAGGTTTTATCGGCGGTTTTATCTGCGAGCGGCGGGCGCCCGGACACACGCTGATGGCGGTCACTATTGAGGATCTCTATCGGAGCTACGGGGTCCTTGCTGATGCTAAGGACAACCTCAGTCAGGTACATTAGGCGAACTTGTTAATGTTGTGCCATTGATAAAGCTCCGTTGCATCGCTATGGCACCTTATTCCACGTCCATCACCGTCAACTTTTTTATGAGCTAATAATGTTGCTGCGTGCCTGCTATGCTAACTGTAGCGAGCTAGCGAGGGACCGTGCTAATGTCAAAGGCCTAACCCGCTGGATGTTTATGGGCTTTGTGATCTTTACGCATTTGGGTGAATAGTTTACTTTTAACTTGACTCAAAATGAGTTTCGATTCATGCCACACGTTTGAAGTTGAGAAACCAGGCTCTAGTTCTGCAAGTTGGGTTACTTTCTGTGGCAGACCAGGTTTAATTGTTTGTTTTTCTGGTCCTGAGACAAATCCAAACCAACTACAACTCGGTCCACATGTGTCCTTTTTTGAGAGTTTTTGCAAATGAATGCATCTTTCCATAATGGGGGGCCAACGGTATACTTATTTTGAAAGCCAAATTGAATGCCGCTGGCCCGCTTATATCCTGACACCAGAACAGAATATCTCCTATTCCAACTCTCTTCATTCCCACCTGACTGTAGTAAACATACGTACAGCCGTTTCTACATGACACTTAACTGTAACCACGATGTCCTATGAAAACCGTTTAGTGCTATTGTTCCAGTGAGTCATTATAATGTGATGTTTAGTATGTTTCGTAAGGAGTCTAATGTGAACGTCTTAATGTTTTTTAATTCCCCTGCAGCACAAAGATGCCTACCAAGTAATCTTGAATGGAGTGAAGAGTGGCCCGAAGGAGAAGCGCCTAGCGGCCCAGTTTATCCCAAAGTTCTTCAGCAGCTTTCCAGAACTGGCCGACTCGGCCATCAATGCTCAGCTTGATCTCTGTGAAGACGAGGACGTGTCGGTGAGTATTCAGACTTCAGGTTCGACGGGTTCCTCGGTTGATTTAAGAGTTCACCACTACATTTCCAAACATGACCACATAAAGATTCTAAAGGATGCTTTTGGATTCAATGTATGTGTGCTTGTCTTTGTCCAGATCCGACGGCAGGCCATCAAGGAGCTTCCGCGGTTTGCAACTGGCGAGAACATCCTCAGAGTTGCCGATATTCTCACCCAGCTCCTTCAGACAGGTATTGGAAGCTAAACATAAAGATTTTGATAATCTTTTTGTTCATACAAACAACTTGTTGTTTACTTGCACTGCTGTTGTGATCCTTTGTTAATATCGTGATGTATTTTTAAGTCTGTATAATACGTTGGATACCAGTTTTTCTCATCAGTCTAACTTGTATATTGATGTCTTGTCTTTCAAAATGTTTTTTAAAGTCCTACCTTTTTAATTATGTATTTTTTTTGTTGTGTGCCTTCAGATGATTCAGCAGAGTTCAACCAAGTGAATGGAGCTCTTGTTTCGATCTTCAAGATGGATGCTAAGGGTAAGCGTTTCCTCCCCCCACTGACCCAAAATAACTCTTCTATACTTGTCTGTTATCCGACCAAGTTTAGAACTTCAGAAAAGTGAATTAATTATTCTCATGCCATACATAGATCCCATAGTGAAATGTATTTTCTGTTAAGGTCTGTTTTTAAAGGGCTGTTTTAAGTTTTAGTTTCTAGTAACTGTCCATGCTGCTTTTTGTAAAACACGTAACCAATGAGCCTTTAATTGCTCAGGTACCCTCGGAGGCCTCTTCTCTCAGATCCTGCAAGGAGAGGACATCGTGCGGGAAAGAGCCATCAAGTTTCTGTCCACCAAACTGAAGACCCTGCCAGAGGACGTCATGACAAAGGAGATGGAGGATTATGTCTTTGCTGAGACAAAGAAGGTTAGCGTACAGTGAATATTGATCTTTGATGGTAGTTTGCATTTAACTACATCAATCACACCATATGACTGACTTAAATCTGGGAGGGATGTGCTCATTAATCAACTTTTTGATCATTTGTTTGTGAAGACTCTCACTAATTGGCTTTTTATCTGTACTTTCTTTTATTAAATAAGAAAACATTGTAAATTTGTGATACTGGTATAAAGCCGCACACGTTGATGACGGGTTTCCGGTCTCCCCTGTTCAGGTTCTGGAGGACGTGACCGGAGAGGAATTTGTGCTGTTGATGCGTGTGGTGTCAGGCCTGCGGGTGCTGCAGACGGTGAACGGGCGGCAGCAGCTGGTGGAGCTGGTGGTGGAGCAGGCCTTCCTGGAGCAGGCCCTCAACCCAGCCGACCCAGACACTGTTGACCGCCTGCTGCAGTGCACACGCCAAGCCCTGCCCCTCTTCTCTGTGAGTACCGCTGATGCGCCTCCATCGATAAGCACACACATCTCATTGGTAAACATGTATGTTATTCATGATTTTGTTGTAATTAAATTGGGGAATCAATCATGCTCTTCTTTGTCCTGCTAGAAAAATGTCCATTCCACGCGCTTTGTAACCTACTTCTGTGAACACGTCCTGCCCAACCTCAGTGCCCTGACAAGTCCGGTGGCTGAGCTGGATATCCAGTTAGAGGTAAGTTCTTTATATATTTATTGATCACGCATACACCACATTCTTGCATCTAACCGTTCTTAACAGTTATGGCGCAGCGTTTTATTCTAAACTATAAAGTGTTTAGAATCCTCCACCGATCTGATTATCGCCTCTCGACCGCCTCTTAGTCCGTGGCAATAAATACATTTAAATCAAATATCACTGGTCGTTTTAAATGCCAGTGTGGCCTTCAGACCAAACGACTACTTTCCCTATTCTGGATTTATTCAGCCTGATTCAGCACTTCCATCCCGACAGGCCTGATGAATATGTGCGAGGTCGATACTCCTAATGTCTGACATTATGTGATCGGTTGTAGTAGTAAACAAAGTCAGCGTGGCAGCCACCTGTCAAAGATGTCAGCCAACTGCACGTTGTTAATGGGTCATTAAGCTGCACCACGCAACGCAGTTCTCATTAGCAATGCACATTACACTGTGAGGGGATCTGCTCAGCTGTGTGTGTCTGTATGTAGGTGCTGAAGCTGCTGGCTGAGATGAGTCCTTACTGTGGAGACATGGATAAGCTGGAGCCCAACCTCAACATGCTGTTTACCAAGCTGCTGGTGAGAAGTGATGGCCCTGTTGTTTAGAGTAAAGTGGAAAGTCACTTAAAGTACACATCTGCAGTTTTTTGACTGCAAATTACAGCTAACCGAATGATTGTACGTGTTTATTCCCTGTTTCTGTAGGAGTTCATGCCTGTGCCACCAGAAGAAGCAGAGAACGGAGAGAACACGGCCAGCGAGGAGCCCAAGCTGCAGTTCAGCTACGTGGAGTGTCTGCTCTTCGGCTTCCACCAGCTGGGCAAGAAGCTGCCAGACTTCCTCATTGAGAAAGTGGATGCTGAGCGCCTCAAAGACTTCAAGATCAGGTGAGTCTCACACTGAGAAGTTTGTTAAATAAAAGCCCATGGTGGGGCGGGGGTAGTAACTTATCGGTCATTTTCTAACGGAAGTGAATGTGCTTTGTATTTCAACAGGTTACAGTATTTTGCCAGAGGCCTGCAGGTTTATATCAGACAGCTGCGAGTAGCACTGCAGGGCAAGTCAGGCGACGCTCTGAAGACCGACGAGGTAACGGCCGCTCGGCAGACATGTCGCAAACTGTCTGTTGCCTCTGGTCCCGCTGTAGAATGTATATCAGAGACTAACTATTGTCTGTGTTGCCAGAATAAGATCAAAGTGGTGGCCCTGAAGATCACCAACAACATCAACGTCCTCATCAAGGTAAGTCGTTCTCAGCCTGTGTTTTGTCGTGGTGCTTGTGCTCATGGTAAAAATGAGATCCACTGTAATAATTCCAAGTAAAAGGATTTTTTGTAGGATTGCTTCTTTTTTTTCAGACCAATACTATATAAACTCTGCTTTGTATCCAATAACTCTTTTCCTATTTCTTCCCAGGATCTCTTCCACAACCCTCCGTCATTCAAGAGCACAGTCAGTCTGTCCTGGAAACCCATCCAGAAGTCGGAGGCCGTAGCGTAAGTCCGCTCCCGCTGATTTAGCAGTAGGCCTGTGCGGTATGGCCAAAAATTCATATCACGGTATTTAGATTCCGACGGTATCCCGTTATATAAGTTAAACGCCTTAATTCATTGACCTCGAAAAGGACCGCGGCTACCCCAATTAGCTGTTTGCAGCTGGCAGGTCAACTGGCCGGCAAGTTAGCGTGTTAGCTTGTTGTTGTGGCGTAACACCGGTATGAACGGTACGTGAGAAATTCATACCATACGGAAATCTTATACCGTCCACCGCTCAACCCTATTTAGCAGTCGTACACCAACTGCACAGCATCGGTGTGTTCTTGCTGCCCCATCGAGTCCTCACCGGCTTTCTCCTGTGCATCTGTGCAGGCCCAAGCGCCCTTCCACTGAGGAGATGGGTGCTGCCGACGGCACAAAGAAGCAGGTGTCTCTTCAGCCGAGGAGGGACGCGCGGCAGATCTACAACCCCCCGAGTGGCAAGTTCAGCGCGACCATTGGCAATTTCACCTACGGTGAGAAGCGCTGTGGTTCTTTCATACTTTAGATACTGTGCCGCCATTGCATCATTTTAGTACATTCTTTCAAAGGGAATATGCGTGATGAAGTGATCTTGTGATGTGAACATGGTATTTTTCAGCAGTATGTGCCGTCAGTCAAACCGTTTTATAATAAGATACGGTGTAGAAACTCATCTGCCTCTAAAATTGAATATAGGTGGGCATATTGTATTTCCATGCTGATCGGTTGTTTTTTCTGTTTATTTTTTTGTACTCCAGAGCAGCGTGGCGGCTTCAGGGGCGGACGAGGACGAGGGTTCGGAGGTCGAGGCAACAGGAGCAGAGGACGAATCTACTGAGAAGCACAAACAGGCGTACAGTACTCACTGCTCATTGAACTGCATCACATCAGGATCTTTTCCGCGGAAGACGGACTATTTGACCCCCACTTTTGTCTTTGACTGGTCTCCACGTCTTTTTTTTTTTTTTTTTTTTTAATTTTATTTTATTTTTTGGCGGGAGGGGCGAGCTTTGGTTTCCTGTCGTCAAAATGTCAGACATCGGGCTCAGTCATTTCAACAATTACTCCCCGTAATTTTCTGGGCATAGTTAGCGTAACTCTAGATGTTGGTCCCCCCCCCATCATTTTAAAAATATTCTGTGTATTTTTGTGGAACAAAAGACTACCAAGTTGTAACTGGTAAATATTTTTGTCGGATTGTTGTAGAGGGAGATAAACATAGTCTTGTTTGGAATGTTAATTGCATTTCTTTCTACCATTTTTATTTAATCGTGGTTTCTTTTTTTATTAGAACAGAAGATGAATTGGCTAACTATGCTACTTTGTATGACTCAAATGTTTCATTGGATCTTTATCATAAACTTGTATGGATTTATGAACCTTTTGTCCTTTGAACTTGTTTTGTATAGAGGTTTACAGTACGGTTGGAAACTAAACACTCTACACAATTGTTAACTTGCATGTTAATCCCTTTCCCTCGCCCATTCTGTCGTCCTGATGATCCAATCACCCCCTATTTGGTCCCATTTCTCCTTTCCTGCCTCTTCTTTGTCTATTTTTACTCCTATCTACAGCCCCCCTCCGCCCCCCAAAAAAAGATCCAACATAACACCCTTCTTACAGCATTCACATTAAGTTTTAAATAATTTCCAATACAACTGTACTTTTACTTATTTCCATTTTCATTGTTTTATTCCTCCAAAGGGAACATTAGAAAATGACTTGCTTGCAAACAAATTAAATTAAATTGGAATACAATTCATAGGATAAACATCTCTGTAAATGTTCTATCTAAAAAAATCAAATGAATCCATTATATTTGATTAGAAATAAAGTTGGGGATGAACAACACTGCACATCTGTATTCAGATTAGCTATAAACAAGAATCTTATAAATTAACTTGTGATTCCAGAGTCTCCCACCAGGAGGCGCTCTAGTCCTGGGTTTTCCTCTCTGTGCAACCAGATCTATTTTTATCCCCAACCCAACGAGTCACTTGAAGCTTCCATCGTGTCTTATTGGGGTTGTTGAACTGATACGAATGATGCAGAGAGAGGAAATATCCTCCCCACCTTCCTTTTCTTGATCCAGAATGATTAGTGCTACTGAACCTTCACTATTACCCAAGTATTGCTTTCCGTGACTGCTAAAATGAAATAAGGCTACAACGAATCCACAATGTACCATCGGTCGTTGGCTTTGAGTGCAATAGTTCTCACATCGTGACTTATTTGCGGGCTGGTCGTAAAAAGTGAGTTCTCGTTCTGGGCAGTAGGGGGCGATACAGGACCAGGATTAAACCCTCTCCTCATTGATCGTGACCAGGTATTTCCCAAACCAGCCAGCCAACCAAAGAGGCCTGGCACGTGCGTATGCGCGCGGAGATGAAAATAATCACGAGGACGAAGAGGTGGGTGGGAGAAGCGAAGACCACCCTCAGGATGAAGAAGGGACGACTGTACGAGTCATGTGAGCGTAGTGAAGGTAAATCGATCGGTCCCGAAGCTCTTGTTTGAACTCATTGAGGTTCCCAACTATTTACAACCGAAAGGTTAAATCTAAGTCTACACTGAGCATCCGTGGTGTCTGTCTTTTCTGCATACATGTATGTCCGTGCTCTTATTGGGAGTATATTGAGAAGTGATTGTGGTGTTCTCAGGCCTGTTTACCTTCTTTATGTCGTTGATGCGATTGTTGTCCTGAATAACAAGGTGCAACTTCTAGTTTAACACACACACTTACATCTACTGTTATAGTCTTATGCCAGACTACTACCGGCTGTAATGTTAAGTTAAACCTGTACTTCCTCCTTTTCTGAACTCAATTTTACACCACAACCTCTAAAGTAGATTGAGGAACTAAGTGTTCCTGTTCGTCGACTCGGTTGTACGGCTATTATCCTACGCTCTATATAAACAGGATTATTGGAGAGAATTCACCAAATGAATGGCAGACCATCTCCGAGCATACGCGATGCATTAGCCCTTAGGGTGGGGTAGTTGATCTCTTGGAGGCGTCTAACCACACTTTGAACTGAGGTGTCCTTACAGAACCCCCGCATGTTATCAAAATATAACATGTAATATATAATGTGATTCTGTATGGTTCTTAACTGAGATCGAAGTGCTCAAATGGCCATCTTCTGCACCCCCAGATGAGTCCTGGGGGGGGGGGGGATCTGTCCGTGGGGCTGAAATCTCACTAGAAGTGATTCAAGCTGTTTAAGCTTCGTACTCTGAGGGAAGAATGCATGTGTTTTTCTTCCTGGGCTGTTGCCCTACACAGAGGTCAGAGGTCAGTTACACACATCTGAGTTCTTCACCCATTCATGTGTCCAGAGCTGTGAGTGGCCGATTGCAATGTGTTCATAGAGAAAAAAAAAGGAATCTGTTGTGAAAAGGGAGCATTTGTGTGTGTGTGTGTGTATATATATTTATATATAAATGCAACATCCTCCCCCTCATGTACAATGCTGGGAATAGTAACATCACTGTGAGGCTGGGCTAAATATAGCAGCCAGTGAGTGTTAACATATCAACTTCAGCGGGAGTGCAGGGGAGCGCCTGCTGCACATGTGTCCGTGGTGGATGCACACAGTGGCGCTATAAATACCCACCCGCCCCTCCCTCTGCTGCTGGTCATTATGTGCATATAGATACGGTGACATTGAAAAATAAAATGGGAATAAGACAGTCAGTTCCAGATTTTGGACGACAGGAATACAAATATCCCAACATACGGAGACATGGGCATGTGAAATAATCTCTCCTCTCCTCCGCCTCTCGAAAGACGTACATGAGACCAAATAACACCTTTTAAAATATCCCAGTGGCTTTACGGGGGGATATTGTGAAGCCGCAAGCGGCGATGAAACGGGTTCCTGGGCGTGTTCCTGCCCCGTCAGACCCTCGGATCCCTCCGACTCAGCCCCTGATCTACCGATTCTGTTGATGAAGGACGGGGTTGAAAATCAGCTTTTCCGAAATTAACGGCGGGGGTGGGGGTGGATGATGGATTTTGGGGAAGGGAAGAGAAGGGGGTGGAGGGGTCGTTTATTTTAGAAATAGTAGGCAGTTTTAAAAAAAAAAGACAGACCTCATGAGTTCTTCTCAATCGAACGCGCTTGTGCATCAAACCGTGATTTATTTGTGATGGAAGGATACTTTACCTCCCTCCCTCCACCCCCCCCCCCCCCCACCCCCCCTCCCTCACCACCACCACCCGCTCCTCCGGCTTTTCAGCCCTCCGCAAACGATGTTACGTAATCTCACATGCGAATGTCAAGAGACGGAAAGAGTCGTGGGGAAGGGCGGGGGCGGAGGGGGGGGGGGCGTACTCGGTCCGTGCAGAGCTCCCAAAACTCATGCCCAGGGAACACCGTGTACTCTTGTCCCCGCTCCCCCCACCTCGAGCGCACACACGAAGAAATTCAAGTTGTTGATTGAAAAAAGAACATCCCCCCCCCCCTCAAAAAAAAACAAAAAACAAGCTGGAGTAAAGAACAGGTGGCTTTCCAGGACTATGCGGGACACAATGGTACGAATGAGTGCGTGATTGTGAAACTGATGAATGAGTGAATGAGGAGCCGCATCTCCCCTTTTCCTTCTCAATGGCTTTTCTTTCCTTTGTTGTTTTTGTGTCTCTTATAGGAGGGATGTAGGCTGCAGAGACAATAACCAGGCATGGACAGAAAACACATACACACCCATTCATGGGGGGCGGGGGGGGGGGGGGGGGGCAACATGTGACAGAGCCGTTCATAAATATTCAGCGGCTCGATTTATTCGGGTCCCCCGGCTTGGGGGGGTTCATTTCCCGCCGCCCACGCCCTCCCCCCAGCCCTCAACCGCGAAAACAAGTTGTCATTTTCGGGGGGGGGGAATTTTTATAAATAGCACTAAGCGGGTGTTTCCATTGACATCATTTAGAGAGGGAAAAATAATTGGGGGAGGGAGGAGAGGGCGCAGGTTCCTTTATTCGGGGCTGAAAATTCAAACAACCCAGCCGGCATTCCTCCGTTACCACTTCTAAAAATACCCCCCCCCCCATCCAAACTGGGCTGTACTTAAACCTGTATTGTCAATTCTAATTGATTGTGATTTAGTTGGAATTATATTTTTTCATCCCAAGCAGTGGAGCTAAACGTGTGAACAGCATTAAGTCTTAAAGACCCTTCCCTTTAAAATATATAGGCTTTTCTCTTTAAGTGTGGTTTTTATTTTCTGTAACCCTCTTTTTGTATACATTTCGGTTCCTTCAGTCAAACAACATTTAAATCAAGCGGTAGAAGTAAATAAGTTACCACAGTTTATTAAACACAAGTGAAATCCCAAAGCGACATTAGAAACCTGATATTGTAAACCTTTCAGTGCTTCTTTTGCAGTCACAAATAACATTACCCCGGTGAAGGATCCATTGAATCCTTTCTACATGTGTGTATGCCTCATGCACCGGGGGCCCAGTATAAACATGAGACCAAAACACCCACTGTTTCCTAGAAAGTCAAAGCCTACGAGTCGGAATGGAAAAGCTCAAGGCAGATGGGAGGGGGACGTCAAACAAATTAAAAGGACCTGTATACACAAACACAGGCAGAGATCCAAGTGGAAAAATAGGGGGGCATCAACCCAAGGCAAATGTTTTGGTATTATTATTGTAGACGTGTTTAGTTTTGGAAAAGGATAAAGTGGAGGGTTGAAGCTCAATAGGCCGTACAGAGGGAGCCACGTTGTCATTTTGTTATCACGACCAACATTTCCGCTCAAACAGGCCAGCTGATCCGTGTGTTTGTTATTATGGAGGAGGAGGAACTGAGGACAGCACTGTTTTTCCATCGTCAGAGTGTCTTATTGTCTCTCTCTCTCTCTCTCTCTGTTGTCAGCTGCAGGTGACGTCTTCAATCCTACAAAGCGCGTTTCTGCAGCAGCACAATATGTTGTTTTTATTATTCATTGTGATTCCATAATTGATTCCCGTGAGCATACCTGTCTTCTCCCTTGATTCACAGAGAGGTCAGAGGTCACAGGCAGATCCATTGACGCTTCTCATAAGGCCTTGAACCCAGGACAGATGCAAAGTTTTTACCTGCTCCCCATTGTTCGTGACCGCCTGAGCATGTTAACGCAACATTTTTGTATTTCGCCGTTATTCAAGCATCATACCTCTTTGTCGGTGATCACACACTCCACCTCCCTCCTCCCGAACGGCACTCACAGCGACCTGTGGACAGAACATTCTAAGACATTTGAAACGTGTGTCTCGTTTGAAGAGGATGAATCATAAGGCCTAATTCAGTCCTAATGGAGTATTTAAGTCACGGTGTCTCTGCTCGCTTCTCTCCCTCCCTCCCTTTCTATGTGACTCCTTCTCTCTTGTCTT